AGGTGTATTTTGTAACCGGGATCCTGAAAAACTCAATTTGATTGATGTGATGAACTCTGTGATAAAATAATCCTTTAATATTGTAGTTCTAATTGGTAATAATAAGAAAGCAATTCCATCGTACAGATTTTGATGCAATCTGGGTCAGTTTTCCTTGTGGCACCACATCCTTTATAGTTGAAAAATCAATCAAAGCTAGTGAGTGCAGCGCTTAGGTTCAGTATTTGCCAAATAGAAACAACAGTAATAAGAAAGGTAGACAAAAAGAATGAAGAAGAGCGACCATGGATTTGTGCTCGAAAGTCCAATACTAAAAATGTTAGGTTTAGGCTACTTGGAGGCCCCAACACCACACATTGATCTGCACTATGGGTGTTTAAAGTTCACATTAATTGCCATGTTTTCTATTTGTTGGTATTGAAAAGGCTCACCTTGAAATAAATAGAGATAATAATGTTTTAAAATAAATTTTTATATATTTTTTATCATATTTAATTAAGTTTTTTTATAAATATTTATAATTAAATCTTGACTTATTATTATTAATTAAAATGAGATGTTGACTTAGATGGTGAAATTGTTACGATATATTAATTTATTATGTTATTATTTAATATAATATATTAATACAAAAATGATGTATTGTTTTGATAAATCATAGTAAGTTAAAAATTAGTTTAAAATTTAGGTATGATTGAAAGTAATAAAAGAAATTTATTTGAATTATTTAAGATAATTTTAACGTATTATGGTGCAAAAATATTAAAAATAAAGTAATTCTATTTTTTTTATTTAAAAAAAAAAAAGGAAGGAAAGGCGGTCTAGTTTTAAATAGGCAGGGCCACCAACGTGGGAGTTTGACTGGCAATGCGTGTAAGGCATTGTTGCATTTTGCATAATACATTAGAAGTCATTTGCATCGTGCAACTAAACACTCAACCTCACCCCATAAGCAGGGAAAAAGGCCAAGCCAAACATGGAAGTCAATTCTCTTTGTTTTTCTTTAAGAATGAGAAACAGGATATCTTCTTCTTCTTCTTTCCCAGCCATTTGGTTCTTCTTCTTCTTCTTCTTCTTCTCGTTGGGCCTCGCAGCATTGGAAGCAGAACACAGTTCTGGTGTTATTGATGATGCTGACAAGAGTCGGGCTCAGTTCCTTCATCTTCTCCGTACCAGACGATCTCCTCAAGGTCGAACCACCCTTTCCAAATGAATTTTCTAATGCTCTGTCTGCTTTTTGTTTTATGCAATGATGGAACTTACTTATATCAGTACATGTACTGAAAAAGTTATATATATATATATATATATATATATACATATATATATATTTTTTAAATTCTCAGTTCCTCTGACTGTGGAACCTGCAAAACCTGTGCTCCATCCTTTGTTTCAAGGTGTTGCTCCACGACCCTTGAATAAGGTCGATTTCGCTTTTTTTAGCAAAGGGTGTATTTTGAGTAGTTGGCTAATGCCAAATGTTTGATTAATGTACCTTTTCTTCACCAGTCAATAGTGTCTTGCCCAAAGGCTGATATTGAAAATCTCAAGGAACGGCTTAAAGAGGAAAACCTTTATTTGCAAACTGAGGTAAGTGGGGCTCTGACTACCATTCATTTCATCTCACTTTGTTTTTCTTTTCCTTTTTAATTTTTAGTTGCCGAAATTACTTATTCAATTAACTGAACCATTCAAGTAATTTGATTTATAAAATATGCTTGTTTCATGTCAGAAATTGATAACCTTTCATTCAAAACTTTCTAAAGCTTATTAATTTCTGGTAATTCACATGATAAATACATATACCTGAAATTGCATGTGTGGGATTCCACCAAATACACCATATGGCACGTGAAGTAAGCTAAATTACTTCAGGGTTTTTGACTTTTCACCGATAGGCTGCACAGCAAGGACGGTTGCCTGTGTTAATCTTAAGCTTGAAACACAGCAATCAGACAAGAAGGCCTGCTGTTGTTTTCCTGCATGCTACCAATACAAACAAAGAGTGGTTACGACCATTGCTTGAGGTAGCTATATGTCTCTGGCCTTCCTTATTTTTTAGGATGAGCTCAATCTTCTTCATTTTCCTCCTTTTTGTTTCAGGCATATGCTTCAAGGGAATATATAGCCATTGCTATCGATTCTCGCTACCATGGTGAACGTGCCCATAATCAGACTACCTATCAAGATGTGTGCATTTATATCCGATTTTTTTTTAGTTTAAACTGTGTTGAAGTCAGTTTCACTGCAATATTTGATGTTGAAGAAAAGTTCTAAATTTATATGCTTATGCTCTCCCATACTCTAATGAAGGTTGGATTCATGTATAAATGTTTGTTATTGTTTTAAAATAAGTCTCAATATAATTGATTGCTTTTGAGGAGCGTAGTTTTCTCTCAGCTGAAGGACACTCATACTTGTATTCATGTGCAACCTAACATGCTTTGAATTAAGTGATAATGTGGACCAATCTAGGGTATGATTTCCTCTTACTTTTCTTTTAACCAATGATCCTAATAGCATAATGCTATTCGAAGTGCAGGCTCTAGTGTCATCGTGGAGAAAAGGAGATACAATGCCATTTATATTTGATACGGTAATTCCTCTGTTCTTTGTTTTTATTTCTTTTTCTTTTGTCTTGAGTTGTGTGAAAATTATTGTTTCTACCATGTAGTTCTTATGATTGAAAAAGGAATGCTACTTAAAGCCAGGGGAGATTTAGAACTTCATAGGACTGTCATGGTTAATTTCCAAAGTGTTCTGCTTCATCTAACGTTTTCATTCTTTCAGGTGTGGGATTTAATAAAACTAGCAGATTATCTATCACTGAGAAAGGATATAGATGCTTCTAGAATTGGAATTACCGGCATATCACTTGGAGGTTCGTTAACTGATATTTGGAATGATGGTGATATCGCATGTATGCTTACTATATTAAGCAAGTAGAATTTAAGTGAACATCATGAAATGCAGGAATGCATGCCTGGTTTGCTGCCTTTGCTGACACCCGCTATACAGTTGCTGTTCCAATAATTGGTGTTCAGGTAATTAAAATTTTTTAGATTCTTGAGAGCACAAGAAAATACATATTTTTAATCATGAACAAAAGTTTCATGTTATATATTTGTAGGGGTTTCGATGGGCCATAGACAATGACAAATGGCAGGCTCGAGTTGACAGTATAAAGGCTGTATTTGAAGGTAATGTTGACAGGAGTACTTGGAAATAAGATTTCGATTAGGCTTGCTTACAAATTTCCAATTTATTCTAACAAAGGCATCTTCTGTCCAGTTTAGGCTAATGTTGGAACTATAAAAAATATGAAGCTACTGTGAAGACTTTTATCTGGACATGAAAGGTGTCTGGCTCTATAATTAGCTGACCTTTCTTAAATGGAGTTCCTGAAGTAAAAGCTTGCATGTAACAATATGAAATGTCTAACTGATTATGACATTGCACTGATATTATGGAAATGATTACATTTTTTAGGGTTAAATAGTGGGTTCATCTGACTATGACTGGCATGACCTATCAATTCCTTGAAGCATACTTGTTCCTCTAGCTTCATTTCAATGGAAGTTGCTTCAGCACTTGTGTGTCTGATTCTCTTTAATACTTTTGTTCAGAAGCAAGGATGGATTTAGGCAAGAGTGCAATTGATAAAGAAGTGGTGGAGAAGGTCAGTTAGCTTTTTTCTCTTTAATAGTTTTCTTCAGAAGCCTAACTTTGTTTCTTTTATGCCTTCTCTAATGTCGATCGTATGGTTCTGCTATTCTAACCAGGTCTGGGATAGGATTGCTCCTGGTCTAGCTTCCCAGTTTGATTCACCTTACTCAATTCCAGCTATTGCACCAAGGCCTCTGTTGATTTTAAACGGTACAATTCTCTTTTCACACTGAGTCACCAGAAATTTAGGGGGATGTTTGAATTTGCATCCTTGGTTTCTCCCCTGTTGCTTTTGAATAGTTTAATTGTAAGCCTAACTTGCAAGCTATGGTCTTTGCTTTCAACTCTTTCCAATTTGTGCATGATAAAATTAACTTCACTTTGTGGAATGGCTGCGGCAAAGCGCTTTGAATTCTTACCAGGCATTAGGACAGGATGCTCTAAAGTCATCTTATAGTATCTATAAGTTAATGTTTTTGCATGTTCTTTAATTGAAATGGCTTGAAGGATAATTCTTCTATTATTTCCTAATAATGTAAATTTTTGGTTAAAAGATGTTTTGGCTTTGACAATTATTAGGTGCCGATGATCCACGTTGCCCACTCGATGGTATAAAAACTCCTGAAAAGAGGGCTCGCAAGGCTTATCAAAAGGCTCACTCTTCAAATAATTTTAAGGTATGGAGTATTAGTATGTGGCAATTACTCTGAAAGTACTTACATCAGTTCCTGTAATGACCATTAAAGTACGTATAGTTCAAGATGTCTACTGAAGTAGCTAATTGTTGTATGCTAAAAAATTGAAAGGCAGCAACCACTTCTTTTCTGTAGTGAATTTGGAACCATTTAATGCCCTCTAACACAGTCACACACGGCCATGTCAAATCCTGGAGTTGCGTCCACACACGGAAAAAAAGGGAAATGGCACTCTCAGGAGTTAGCATATTCATATGATTTGTTTCCTGAATGTGCAGCTCATCGCACAACCTGGAATAGGCCACCAATTAACACCGTTAATGGTGAAAGAAGCATGTGTTTGGATGGACAGGTTCCTCAACCAATAATTTTTATAGTTATGCTATATATATATATATATATATATATATATATATCTGTATCAGCTGTCAGTGGAAGGGTCTGCTGTAACTCGATTTGAATAATGGAATGAGCCTGTGATCAAGACTTTGTATTAATCTTAAACCAATAAAATAGTTACTCTTCATTCCACTAGGTTGGTGGAATCTCTCTCTCTCTCTCTCTCTGTTCCTTATGCAACCAAACTTTTTGCGGGTGCCCAAGGCCTTTAATCATGAAAATTATTTTCAAAAATGATACTTGGTGACCGCAACCCTTGGCATTGCTATTATTATTCATATGAACAGCATCAGATTACATAGCTTGGTTATTTCAGCAGACCTATAATAGTAACTATTTGAAAGGATGAGAAGAAGGTTTTTCCCTTACATGTTAAGGGGAAACTTTGCTCAAAAGCCGCTGCCACTAGTAAAATACTATACCTATAACTTCAGTCTCACCTACACAAGAACAAATGACTGCAAATTTGTTTCTTGAAAGATAAGGGCACTTTTTATTTCTCCTGCGCTAGCCTGCTAGGAGTTACGACCTCAAAGCTTATGCCTCAACAGGTGCACCCTGTAGCAGTTAAATGGGAGGTTAATTTAGTACAGATAATCTACTGATCTCTGCACGAAAAAATGGTTTCTAGCACTTCCTTAAGGTGCCAATTCTTACCAATGGGATGCCTTTCATGGCCCTCTCTTCCAAGAATCTTGAGGGTCTGAAGAAGGGACCGTACAGAGCGGACCACTTGTTGAGACTTGTGTATATGTACTTTGCTCCAATAGTATCAGCCCAGAAAATTATACCTCCCCTGGAAATGTAAGATAAAGAGGGAGTAAGCAGTATGAAAGGAAGAAAAGAAGCAATGCATAGATTTCTTTGAGCAGCAGATAGATGTAGAATACAGACAGGCGGGAAGGGAAATTCATCCCAAGAACAGACGCAACGTCAAGCTCTGATGCCTGAGCAATCACTCCCTCCTCTATAATGCGGCATCCCTCATTCACCACCGGGAAGAATATCATCTCCATGATTTCTTGGTCGCTTATGCAAATGGGCTGAGAATCACATTGATATTAACCTTCTTTATCAGCACAAACAGCAACTCGGTAGAAACATATGCATACATGCCCCTGCAGAGGGGGGGGAGGACAGAAAATTGTGACTTACTTTCTCAACGAGGTTTGTAGTTCTCCGGGACTCCTCAACTATTGGTAGCACGGTGTAATCAGGCTTTGGCTTGCTTCCCTTCTCGAAAGTGTAATAGCCTTTTCCATTGCTTTTACCTATACCGTTTTCAGAACATCCTATGAATCCAAATACAATGCTACTAAAACAGTTACATTAATCTTAGCTGTGTGCCATTTTGTCAAAGAAAAATGTGAGAAAAGCAGTTTCTTTGATTTACCATGTCGGCCATGTTGAAGCATGAGTTCATGTAAAGGAGACTGGAACGTCCTGTCAGGGAAGGTACCAGCCATCTCTCTGGCGAATGCAATAGCCAAGCCATATCCAGTTACATCATGAAGCCTGCATATATAAGAACATTGAAGTTAGTTTAAGACAAAAATGTTAAAAACAAATCTGTGTGTGTGTGTATATATATATATATATATATCGCATGCAATCAGGATCGATAAACTTAACTGGAAAGGCCCCATTGACAAGCCAAATGAACAAATCACTCTGTCAATTCTGAAAATGTCCACACCTAAGTCTGCCAACAGATATGGTCCTTGAAAATAAGGAGAGAAGGTACGATTTACAGCAAATCCGGTGCAGTTTCCAACGATGAGAGGAACTTTCTTAATGGCCTTCCCAATTGTCATAAGATCAAGCAGAACTTGTGTAGAAGTTTTCTCTGCCCGCACAATCTCCAAGAGTGGCATTATATATGCGGGACTGTTTATTAAAAGAGACAGAATGTAAGCACCCAAACCCAAGAAGGCAACAAGAAACTTTACGCCATAGAATGCTGTGAATTAACCTGAAAAAATGAGCTCCAACAATGCGATCTTGAGAGCTGGTTCTCTGTCCAATTTGATTAAGATCGATGCCTGATGTGCCTGATGCCAAGATGCAGTGAGGGGGACAAACCTTGTCAATTTCTTCAAAAATTGATTGTTTGAGTGACAGGTCTTCAATCACAGCCTGAGACAGAGTGAGCCTCAGATAGTAAATAATAATCTAAACAAGGAAAGAATGATCCCACTGATAGTCAACACACTAAACATTTTTCAGAAGCCCCAAAGAAGACTAACCTCTATTACCAAATCCACATCTTTGAATTCTGAATAATCTGATACACCTCTTAGAAATGAAAGAGCTTTCTTGACCCCATTCTCATCCAACTTTCCTTTCGTAACCAAGCCTTGGAGATTAGCTGCGAGACAAGGACATGAACAGAACAATTACTTTTTGATTTTAGACAACATTCTCAGATGACCCCCTGCAGTCAAATTCTCAGGAAGTTAAAAGAATTGAAAATCTGTATCTATGAAATGAAAAGAGACCTTCGATCTTTTTAATCCCTCTCTGAAGGTATTCAGAATTGAGTTCCTTAAGAATGACATGGATATTGCTCAAAATGAGAGCAGTGGTGATCCCAGAACCCATTAGACCAGCACCAATTACACCAACTTTCTCTATTGGCCGTGGTTTAAGCCCAGCATCAGTCACACCACGCACCTGCACGTGCATTGCACAAGTTAGGAGAGATAATCTTATGCTTTTTCGTTGGGTCGTACTACAATTCGGATTGTGAGAGTTTTCCATCAAATTGAGTTGAAATCTAAGATATTTCCTCACCTCCAAGTTAGCTAGAAGAAAATGCAATGTTATAATAATAAAGCACGGGGAATTTGCTGTCAGTAATCCATTTTTAATTAGATTCCCCCTTATTTAGTATCTATTAACCATCAATGATTGGATTGCCAGCCCAGTCTCTCGATCTGAGCTTGCTTCTGGTTAAACTTGTTGGACTTAAATCTTTAAGCCTAAGCGTGGTCTGGACCATATATACATATGCGTTGACTTGAGTTAAGTCTTCAAGGACATAACAAATTAGCTGCGAGCCTGCTGCAAACAAATGGTCATGGGAAGTCTCTTCTTTGACCAAAGTTAAAACCCTTCCTTGACCCCAGAAAAGGGGGAAAAGTTAAGTCGTAACATGCCATCACCTCCTCAATTTATCCAAAATCTACTGTGTCTACTTCTTATACCTTTGAACAAATTTGCAGCCACTGTTATGTTCAATCAGCAACGTCAGTGAAAAAGAAAAAAAGGGAAAGAAAACCTTGTCTACCTGAGATGTTGCACGTTGGGCACAGAAGACATGGACAAGAGCTTTTGCAGCAGTTGACAGCATCAACTCTTTAAATACTTCCTTTTCCTGCACCATCCAACCATGCATGGAGAATTACTCTTATTATTATTATTATCATTTTCATTAATTAAGCTAGTATCAGTAATACTAGAATTTTGATTAGCTAGCTTTTACCATTCATTCATTAACAGATGCATGCTGGAAATTATTTTGTACTACCTTTAAAACGCCAGAACGTCCTCCAGAGGTAATTCCCTCTTCAATGACATCAAGACAGGCCAGTTTCTGAGGCATAGTATGAGCAGTCTCTTTCGCCTTCTGCCGAATGCCTTCCAATATATCCATTTCTTGTTGGGTAGAACCAAGTTTATCGGTTCTTGAAAGAGAGGAAAGGCGTGGTCTACGGCTCCCTACAATATCTAGAGCCAAGTCGCACGCTACTTCCAACAACTCTTCAGGAGAAGCTATGGCATCAATAAGACCAAGGCTTTTCCCTTCCTCTGACATTACTAGCTTCGAAGTCTGCAAGTAATAATTTAATTGGTGCCCATGTATTATTAGTACAATAATTATATGCACAATCCAGAAAATTGTATATTTGAGGACCAAGAACGAAGATTTCAGGTTTTACCAGCAACATTTCTGCAGCCTTTGAAACTCCTACGAGCCTTGGAAGACGTTGAGTGCCTAGGAGAAAAGACCAATGATATATCAGTTATGGTAATTGTTCGGCTCATTTATTGCGTCTCAGCAGCAGAAAAAATGTGTCAAAAGGATGTCAGAACTTAGGGGAGGAAGATATTAGCAATACCTCCAAGCCCTGGAATGACTCCAAGTGTAAGCTCTGGCAAACCCAGTTTAGTTCCTGGAGTGGCAACCCGTGCACAGCATCCCTGCGCCAAATTAAGAACCGTGCTTAGCAAATTGCCAAAGATAAAGTATATAGTACATCAGCTTGATTAGAAATCAACAAACCATTGCCAGTTCCAAGCCCCCTCCCAGTGCATATCCTTGAATTGCAGCAACAGAAGGTTTTTTGCCATCTAAAAAGGATTACCCAAAAATATAACAACGATTTCAGTCTGTATAAATGTTTCAAGCAAACGGAATCAATAGCTAGCTAGCATGATCTTGTTGTACAAAGGGTAGTTGATTAAGGCTTTCACCTTCAACTAGGTTGATTAAATCATGAGATATTTCAGCCAGAAACGAGTCGTCCCCTGCCAGAACAAGATATGTTGATCAGTAATTCCTGATTATGGAAAAGTATTACTAAAAAGCTAGCTCAGCTCCATCGTGAAATGCTACAACATTTACCAGTTCTCTGAATATCTTGCAATAGATTGATGTCCAAGCCACTAGAAAATTTACCGCCAGCACCTTCAGAGGGGATAAACAAACCATGATATTACACATCAGAGATTCTTTCAATACCGATTTAGAAAGAAGCTATCATTGTCCCGCGTAGGCTGCTTGCGAATAAATCATGAACAATAACGAATATTTTAATTTAGTACTATGTTGAAAGGGAATGTAAGAACATCTCAATTGCATGCATACCCTTTGATCGTGACAAGTCGAACTCTTTTTGGCCTTATTGCAGCAATCAAATATATATATAAATAAATACACACAAACTTAGTATTATCAGATTGGAGAATGTCAATATATACAACTTATTACTATCAAGTGTCCACTTTGGGTGGCTACATGACTTGGACAGCTTAGCCTCAGGGGCTACGATTTACCTATCAAAACTACTGCTTTCACATCATCTCTCTTCATTGACTCGTTGTACTTCCTCGTCAGCTCTGTCAGCGCTGCAGACAGAAAATGACAGGTACGTCAATTCCAGAACGAAGATCCCAAACTCATCATAATCAAAGAAAATTGCTCACTACTTGTTTTGTTCTTAAAATTCCTTTTCCTTTTTTATATTGGGTGATGAGAGTTTAAACCAGTTTCAGGTTGAACAGATAAAAGCACCAATATATATATATATATATATATATATATATATATATATATATATATATATGTAGCTAGTTAAATGCCTTCCTCAGGTTGTACTAGTGTAACTTGGTTTGGCCTGCTGGGTTTCTTGCTTTGGGCTTGATACAAATAATGATCATGCGGGGAGTAGAGACAAGATCCACTGTTTGATACCTACGTTATATATATAGGTATTCTCACGAGTTGAAAATGGAAAGTGATATAAATATTTAAATGTTCATAATTGATGTGAAATTTATATTTTTTATTAAAATTATTTCTTTTCACATGATTTAAAATTTCTCATTGAGTTAAAATTATGTCATATTAACAAGTATTGAGAGAAGATATCTTACGTAAAACAAATTTAGTGCCTTACCTCTTTGCAAAATGGGAACAAATATAGACTTAAGAGCTTTAACACAAAAACATAATTAGAAAACTACTGATGTAATACGCACCTTGGAGGTGCAACACATTAACAGGTGGACTAGAGAGGGTGATGACAGCGATCCCATCAGCCCTAACTTCCATGGTCACCCGGTGAGCTTCGCCGGCCATTGCTGCAAACTTGGTTGTAGCCTTTACAGGAGTTATAGGAGGAACCAAAGGGCTTCCTTCACTTGCTTCTGTTTTCGGTGGTGCATGAAATGAAAGCTGACTACAACTCCTATTTATACAGAGATTAAGGACAGGTGAATATCAAACCTGATCGTCCCACGTGCATAGACTTTACAGTGTTTCATTCTTTCCTTTGAGCCTGCTTCTCGGTAGCACCTGTATGGAAATCAGTGTCCACGTGTTAATTAACGCGACACTTAATTAGCCTTTTGACAAATCAATGTTAGGTTAATTGGCCGCCAAAATTAACTAGACAAAGCAACTTCATTAATTTATTTTTTAGTACATTAATTAAATGTTAAATTAAACTCAATAATTTAATTAGCCAATTTAATGTCTCTATACAATGTTTAATAATATCTCTATATGCACTCTACGCCTAAGAGTTTTATATATTATTCATTAATCGAATGTTACGCATTGTTAATATATAAATTAAGAATCAAAAATTTTTTGAAACTAAATATTTTTTTTTCATATTAATGAAATATTACTTTTATAATTGCATGAAGATATATACTATAAAATTATAGTAGATCAAATATAAATCCTTTCAAAAACATATTAGCTTAGATTTTACTTTGTAAATGTAATTATAAAAACCGAAACAAATTCTAAAGTTTGGTTTGTAATGTTTTGGAATTATAAAATGTTTAACTTATTAGTTGATGTATGATGATTTATTTAAAAAATAAGATTTAATTTTTTTTAATTAAAAAATTAATTTTTAAATTTTAAATTTAAGTTAATTCAAGGTGTTTCTAATATAAAAATGAAGTAAAATAAATAATAATATTTAAGCTAATCCAAGCTATGCAACTGGCGGCATTAGCCAAAAAAATCTAAAAAACAATAATGCTTAGAATAACATCTTGACTTTGATTTGATTTGGCGAGAAAGCATCTTCCATCATACCCTATAATGTAAGAAGCCGACAAAAAGATGTGTAACTGTTTTGACGGCCGCAATTTCTGCAACTTAAAATCCCAGAAATTGAAAGACAGGATACAGTTGAGTTTATTGACCTTGTCTTGGATCTCCGTCGACGGTCGTGGTCGATAGCAACCTGCATATGGGCTTGTTTTTGGAGTAAGTTTGACTTTGGGATGATGTAGACAAAGAATTTCTTATTCATGGAAATGGTTTGGTCAAAGTTTGTGCCTACCACCAGCCTGACAATCGTTAATGTTAAGGTTGGTAGACAGGCAGCTGCCGCTTGGTCAATGGAAAATGAAAAATTTTATACTTAAATTGTCTCCTTCTCCTGATTGAGTTTAAGGGAAATTTACGACTTATTGATGACCAGAGCTTGTGCTATATTTGAAAGATTTGAAAATTATTTAAGTTATATAATTTTTTTAATTTTATTAATTAAATTAAAATTTTGATTTCACGAATTTAATTACATGAGAGTTAGGAAATTTTATAATAGCAAAACCTTAATTCATAATAAATAAAAATTATTTTAAATATTTCAATTAGATAAGTTTGATTTTTTTTTTTTTTATAAATCTTTGAGATTTGTATAACAATTTATTACGTAGAAGGTAGTGCTTAGTTACAACCGCGTCTGGCAGTTGCTGGAGGTGTATCGCGGGATGCAAATAGCAACTGGCTAACAGGTTTTATCTTCAAGTTCGTATCTCCCTTTCACTACCTGCCGAATTGTGGAATATTTATCAGGGATTAAATCTTTGTTGTATTAGAGGCTATAGACACGTAGAGGTTGAATCAGATTTCTTATCAGCTCTCCAAAAGATTGACAATCACAGCTCAAAGCTAAGTCGAAATACTTGTTTATTGCAAGATATCAACAAACTGATTGTTCGAGAATAAATTATTCTTCTATCCACGTTTATCGTGAGGTCAATCAATACACCCATTGTATAACCACCCATCATAAAAACTTCTTTTGAATTATATATTATAAATTCTCCATCAGCAGAAATACTCACCTATCTTTTAGTTGACAATTAGGAATAGCTTATTTAGAATGATGTAATTTGTTTTATTCCACAATATATATATATAAAAAATTCACCAAACTATCAAACTTAAGAGAAAACTAAAAATAGATATAGCTATTTTTTTTTTATTCCTTTGTAACGTTGTATACAAGTGATAATGCATGTTTGTAATAGTCTTGGCGGAAAAGAGTTGACATAACATTAATAATGGATAATTATTTAATAAAAAATAAGAAAAAAAAAGAAGAAAGCTTTGACATCTTCTCGTTTATACTTTATATGGAGAAACGCATTAAAGTTTTGGTTACCCAATCTGGATTCAAACAAATACTTAGGGGGTAGCATTGTTGTAGCCGAGTGGTTGAAATTGAAAAAGGCCTCTAGTTCTTCTAGTTCCAGCTTTATCTTGTCCATCTTCTAGTTCCATTCATTCATTAAAGCAATCTTTACTGACTGGAAAATTAATGCCTACTGGTAGAGAATAGACTGGCCTATTCCTCTAATGCCTTCTGTCCAATATCTACAAAGAAGATAATCTGGTTTGAATTTGAAGATGAAGTTTTCAATGCTGTCCTATCCCTAATCCTGAAGATTTCTTTATTTACTTCTGTTACCTAACCCTTGTTCTTTTTCACAGTCGAGCCAAAGACGTAATGCATTAGGCAAGTTACTGGAATTACAATTGTAGCAATCTTAGTTAGACAGGATTTGATTGCCCAGTAATCAAGATAATGCGACCTGCTAACCTGGAGATGAAAATCAGTGTTGTTTTATTGCTTTAGGAATAAACATCACATGAGAAGCTATAGCTAGAATCTAAATGTTGGAACCGAAAAGCTGGAAGTATTCATGAATTTCTATCACAATGTTTGAAATGTGCACAACAAATTGAACTGCAGATAATAAATCAGCTCTTATGGTTTAAGACAGCTTATAGCACTATAAGTTCAACCTTTTTTGGGCATGGCAGCAAGTCTGGTGTACATTCTTGCCATGGACTGGTATCCTCTAACATCGCCAGATCTTAAAAGATTGCCTGTCCACAGGAGGGAGTGGTGTTTGTTAGGGATAAACATCAAAAGTAAACGCAGCTCAAAGTTCCATATAATCCATGTAGCCAATATAGATGCCAATATATCAAAGCTTCAAAGAAACTACTAGTGCATAGATATGCCAACTTGATTTACTTCTTTACCAGGGATCTAGAGATTTCAGTTTCTCTCATATTTTTTCTTCAAAAAGGATCAGCCTTGTTATCAAGAACTTAAAATGCACATAAATTCTAAGAAGATGCCATGCTAATAACTGCGCAAGCATCAACAATTCCAGTTCCATCTCTAATTTACTTGGAAGGAGCAAGAATGATAGAAATGTGGACAGCGAAAAGGGCAGGAGAAAAAGGATACCGTGGGTTGGCAAAACAGGAGAGATCTTAAATGCTTATGTATCCTTTTTCAAACAATAAAATACGCAATTCACTTTTCATTTCTCCAATTCACCAAGGCCATATTATTTGGCTAAAAATACAATTTTGAAACCACCGCCTATCAGAAAGAAATACATTCTTCAAGGACCAAGAACTTTCTCGCATGATGATATACATTTCGGATATTCTTTTACAATTCCCCTAGGTAAAGTCATAATGTTAAAAACCGGGGGTAAAAAAACACATTAAAATAGACCAACTTACCAGAATCACAATTGAGTGGGCTATCAGGTTCTGGGTGAGCCATTAAAGCTATTATAGCCCTACAAACAGACTGAAGTGTCCAAGCAGGGCTCCATGCATTCTTCAATATATCAAGGCAAATCTCTCCAGTCTGTAAACGAGATTAACAAAAAATAAGACTAAATTCTCATATGAGCATCTTGGAAATTATTACGTTTCACATATCAATAATCTGTAGACCTTATCAGAAGAGGGATTCCTATGAGAACAAGATTGTACTGTTAAATTAACAGATTTTTATTCTCAACCTCTGACATTATGACTACCATTCCTCCATCAAGATCTCTCATTTTGGCGGTCATGGTTGCCGAGTTCAAAATCACCAAGTATCCCAAATCCCCAACAAAGGAACAGAAGAACATTACATTTTAGTTAGCTAGATATTAAGTTGCTATCATGGGCATTGATATATTTTGCTTTCCTTCCATTTTATTCTGTCTTGATATTCAAGTAGAGCATATAAGGTTATGAACTCATCATATCAAAAGAATTTACACCTTGAAATGCACGTTGGGATGAAATATTTTCGTCAAGAAGCGCACTTGAGGAGGTTGCAAAGGATACTGCTCGGGAACAGAAAAAGCAAGCTGAAAGACTCCACCTTCATAAGGAGTCTCAGACGGTCCCTATATAAAAAGTTATAGTTCAAGCAAAATCAAACCAACTACTAAAAGCCTACACCATATTTTTTTCTTTCACTACTTTACTTGAGCCAACCTTGATAAGAGCAGTCCACTTGAATATGTTGGAATCATCACAAACTAGTTGAATGTCCGGATCGGCCGCCTTTTCTCGTTGCACCTCTTTGTATTCCTTAAACAACCTTGCTCTTGATGCCTTCACATGAACATTCAACCATATTAATCAAGAAAGAATTGCTTTGGACAAAAAACCCACACTCAATTCTTAGGTAATCACCATTTATTTAATTAAATACACAACAAAAATACATAATTAAACCAAGAAAAAACAGCAGTCTACATAAATATCAGCTAACCTGCATCTTTTTGTTTGTTGCTCGGTGGAAATTCAATTATACCTCAAAAAGTATATATATTTCGATATCAGCGTGACAGATAGCTGCAAAATTGAAAGCAAAACCTAACATTGTTAACAATTTACACCACAAAACTAATCAGAGCCAATTTTTCGCGTAAATAATTAATGATCAACGGTTTGATACAGATCAGATCAAAGAAGATATGGATTAAAGGAATTAAATTGAAACGATAATTGATAATTTGAAAGGAGGAGAAAGGAAAGAGCTCATTAGAATCCTGACCTGGAGCTGAAGTTACCCGAGAAGAGAGAAAAGGAAGAAGCTTCTTTTCTCGTCTTTTAGTTAAACAGAAAAGCTAGATGAGGAAGTTTTGATTCTGTGTTGGACGATCTATTTTTTTTCATTCTAGATCAACGGTCAGAAAAACATACCCGAGTACTAGGTCGTTGATGCGTGACCCGACCCGAAGAAGATAACACTCTTGGAGGATGACGTAAGATGCGTAACCAAACTTAGGGAAATTGTGGCATAAACCCTAGATATTAGGACAGCTTACCCCTCTGTGACAGCAGCCTAGGGTCGCAAAAAAAAGAAAAGAAAAAAAAAAAACAAGTTTCAATGGCTGGTTCAACGATTCTATCGAGATTATCATCGGCTCGGTTAAATGCGCTTGCTCTCAAGCTTAAGAGCAACAAATCAGTGTTACCCACAATTTCTCCATTGAAACCGAGCTCTCAGTCTCTGGTTTCTTCTTCAGTGAAGCGCATCACTGGGATTTCAAGGTGAGATTTTTTACAAGTAGAAGTGTTTGGGGTTCTAAAGTTATGAACTTTACTATTCTCTTTTCTCCTTTTTCTGTTTGATTTCTGTGAGAAATGGGACGAAGGGAAGGTTAAATGGATTAAGTATTATAACAGTGTCTTTTTTTCCCTTACTCGCACGGAATTTTAGATTACCAGTGGAGCTGAGCTGCTTAATCTCAATGATGCCATTACACAGTGCAGTAGCTTCGGCTCGCCTCAGATCATTTCTTGCCATAGAATCTCAGAGTTGGGGTTTGATTCCTCAAGGTCCCCCTCTCTCTCTCTCAGAAAGCACATGAGGACTGATTTTATTGCTGGCACCCAGTGTTCATTATCTTAGCATTGCCAATCATTAATAGGAAAAATGAACTGATCAAAGCAACATTTTGATCTCAAGAATTATTCTGAATGCTTGGCTCTTGATCTCAACAGTTTGATCTTCTAATCCGGCTTGTCTTCAATGTTGCAGGTATCTCCTTGCCTTTATAACAGCACACTCTGTTTGTGGTTTGGCAATGGACAAGATCTTTGTCATCACAGTGAAGTGTACTTCCTTTCTGAAACTTGAAAAAATCTGTAAGGGTTAATAATATTTCTCATTGTTTCATAATGATATGATGAACGCTAGAAAGTGTTGATCAATGGGAAGATAGAGAGGCTTGAATTGGCATCAAGAAACCAAATCGATCCCTTTGGATTGAGCCGAATCTTTTATCAGTTTCTGACTATGGTTCCATTGTTGTCTTGCCTTATCTTGCAAGTCTTGGTTTTTCTTCCTTACTGTTCTACTTCTGCATTTCTATGAACATTTGTAATTTCAGACCGATGGCAGTATGATCTCCATGCTCTCAAATGTTGGTATTGAATTTCGGGTGGGTTCTGAACATTTGATCCCATCCTTACCCACCAATGAAAGAAGTTGAATGCAGTAAAACCATCCATAGCTTTTTGGTCTTGACAAGAATGCTTGAATGACTTGATCCAACTCAACATATAATGTACTAAGGCAAACAGTGCGTAATCTTTTCCAGTGCCATTTATATGGAATTCAACACCACCTTGTAATTCAATAAGCCAAAAGCAAATTCCAGGATGTTGTATATATTACAACAGCCATACAATTAAAAATGCCTACAGAAAATTTATGCCCCTGCTAAATTATATTACAAATGAAAATATAATTTCCATAAGTCTGAGAAGAAAAAGAAAAAAGCCTAAGAGAAAATCAAATCTCATAAAATCAACCTAACTCAAAAGAGTTGATCTTTCCATTTTCTCTACAGGGAATGTACATGGTTCCAATGCCAAACATGCAACACAAATAAGCCAAGGGACTGGTGAAGAATATATATATTAGAAATTTAAAAAATATTTAAGATAAGGAAAGGAAGAAAATGAGAAAAAAGGAAACAAGTTAGCAACCAAAAAATATGTAATATAAAAAAAATGCAAAAAAGGCAATTCCAGGTTCACATGCTACCAGCTCTTCCAGGAGTGGTTTTGGTTGATTTAATTTTTGCCATGTCAACAAGGTCTCCAAACAGCTTATCCTCTGGTTTCGAAGGCTTGCTTGGTGGAATGTAAGACGAAGTAGAAACCTGGTAGGAAGAGTTTTTGAGGCCATTGTCATCTCTGATGGATAGCCCATACATTTGCTGATCAAGATACTGTTGCTGACCATAACCATATATTCCCATTTGGTTGCCATACATTTGTTGAGGATACATAGAAGCCATCTGACCAGCTGGCATTTGCTGTGGAAGCATGCCCATATACTGTGCTCCCTGGATCGGTTGGGGTTGAAAACCAACAAACTGGTTCCCCTGCATAGTCTGGTTATTAATTGCTGACAAATGACCAGTCGTGATTGGCTGAATGTACATACCCACCACCTGGTCACTTCCCATTTGTTGAGGTCCTTGAGGTTGGGAATGTGTTACTACAACTTGAGTAACCATTGACTGGGGATACTGAGCACCTGCTACTAGGCTAGCGTCCGCTTGTGCTTCCCAGGGTGGTGGTGGTAGTGAGCCACTACTCTGGGCACCTTTATCAACATGCAAAAATAAGCTCCATCAATTTTACGCTAGCAGTAGCAAGAACATAACTATTCAGGCAACCCAAGAAGCCTAGAACATCACTACATGAATTGGGTGAGGGAAAAGTCCATGAAGATGTATATTAATGATTTCCCAAGTGAAATGTGGCATGCTGTGATTACATGCATCAGTCCCTAAAAAGAAGAAGGGCCTATGCCAAAAGTAAAATGCTCAACTCATGCATAAAAAACCTCTTATAAACAGAACAAACCATAGACAGGTGAGGGGGGCTGCTGCTGCTGCTGAACTAGCTGACCATTCCAAGCAGGACCAGTGCCTTGAGCATATGACTGCTCATATCGAGGTGATCCCATGTTTGGTGCAGTTCCATTTGCATGATAATTCTGCTGCTGCTGAATTTGAGGAGTCAAAGGGTTGGCTTGTCCAGCCAAACCTGAAGACTGGAAGTTAACAGAATTGGACGTGTTGTTACCATCAGAAAACATATCAAAGAGAACAAGGGCGTTCTGCTGTGATGCAGGAGTTGTTTGTTGCAGTTCCCCCAAAGGAACAAGCGCCAGTGAATCATCTGCCTTCGGTGAATTGTAGTCATCACCACTAAGCAGGTCCATTTTGGGATTGACTGCAGCTGGAGGAGTTGAACCATTAGTTGTAGGAGGAGCAGGAAGCAATAACTGATTAAATGGATGAGAACTTGCATCAGTGGTTGAAACAGATCTGCAAAGAAATCCTGTTAGTTAAACCTTGAGCTATCAGAAACATCTGTTCAAGGGTTTCAGATAACCCCCGGATTAATTCAATGTCAATCCTGGCAACCTAACATTGGATAAGCAAATAGGCCATGCCTGACAGAGAGAAATATATGATTAAATATAAATAATTAAATCCAAAAATGTTCAAAGGTTGCCACTCCAACATAATCAACCACCTGCAATAGACGTATCATATCTCAAAAACCTCAGCAACTAAACTCTACCAAGAATTCCTCCAAACAAAGAGAAATTGATAGTGTAGAATAACAAAAAAATCTTGTAACCAAGTTCCGGGGTGCTGACTACAAGAGCATGATTAGCACCAGTATTCAAGTAATGCTTAGGACAAGAAGTGTAATGCAGCACTCAAACAGAACTTTATTATCCTTAGCATATTCTATCATTTTCTATAGAAACACAAAAGAACAATAATTTTAATCACCAAATCACCGCATAAGGTAATCCAGTTCAAAGAAGTACCTCCCCTCGGACTGCTTGCTGCTCTCCCCAGTGTCAACTAGGGGACCATCGACATTCACAAGTTCTCTTGCAGGTTCAGGCTTAGGTCTCTCTGCTTGAGAAGAAGTTCCTGAAGCTATTGCTTCATGCTTTGCTAGTACCCGCTGCAAATCATCATTCAATGCTAAGCCTTGACATAGCAGTGACTCATCCCTACAAAAGATAAAAAGAATCAAAGGTGATGGGTGCTTTAAATGTAACAATATTTCACACATATCCTTCTACCATCCCGCAGAGGTTAGAAACTAACTACCAATGAAACTCATACACCAGGCAATAAAATTACAAAGTCCTTTGCTCTCAATACTCCTGAGGATTTCACTCCCTCTTTTGGGCAAGCATTTTAATAAGTGATACTGGCACAATCACCTTAAGGACCAGGTAATACAAAAAGAATGCATCAAAAAACCCACACAGACAAGCATGTCTGGACCATGAAAACAGATGAGGGCATCAACGTAGAGAAAGGTACTAAGGGCCATTAAGCATAACTAAATGAAGTTATGGTACAAGAAAGGCTGTCCTTACGATGTTGAATTAACAAGGTGTACAACTCTTTGTTTGTAGGCACGGCACTGGTCCACTAAGTCAACAATCACCTCCTGCCTAAGTCCCTGAAATTGTAGAAGAAAGATCACTAAATATAAAAACAGAAAATAAACTTATAGAAAACCACAACAAGCATTATAAGATTAGTAGAAGATTTATCAGCATGAAACCTCAAAAACTTTTGGAAAGTTGTTTCATTATAAAAGATGAAAAACATAAAGTTTAAACAGAAAAACTGTTTCAATCTGACCAATTTGAGCATTACAAACAAATTATTACACAAATGTTTGTTATATGAAGACTTGAGTAGTCACTTTATATACAATTGATGGCTTGTCAGGTAGAAACTACATTACTATGCTCTTGCGGGAACACAATATTGTTTTAGCAAGTAAACAAAATATCTTCTTTTTCTCTAATTTCAATATTGTGAACATATACCTCCTTGTTTCCAGGATCTAATGCATTTAGCATTTCTGCAAGGACATCCATAATACCCCGCGCGTTCTGAATTTCTGTCAAACTAATAAAAGAAACTCCAGTTAAAAGACTAGATGCATCATCAATGATTAAATACCAAGTAGGAAACAGTGAATTAGCAATGTAATATCTATCGATAGTATGACAGAACAAGTAGTCCACATTTTCCACTATTATAACTGCTCTAGTCCGTGGAAAGTCCCTACTGCTTTATTTCTGGGGCAAAAGGGTATGCATTGGTGTGACAACACCACAGCAAAGTTTCTCTATAAAAAGTACATTAAGGAGTGCCTAAAAAGTTTGTTTTGACAATTACTTTATTTTAATATCTAGAAGACATTAAATTAGCCATATGCATTGAATGGAAAGAAATAAAATCCTTATTAAACAATTGAAATTCACTGCATAACCCATATTAAAAACAAAACTCAATAAACTTTGCAATTTATTTATTGGGTAATGATAATAAGAATTTATTATGAGCAAAAACTTTTCACCTAAACAGATTGCTGCAGCACAATTTCTAACAAAGACATCATTCGGTAAGGGAAGTTTAAAAAAACAAAACATAGGCCATCATAGAACTGAATAGGAATGATGAAAAACCAAAAAAAAAATCACTATGCTTTTACTACTCAAACAACCTAAGAACAACAAAATACCTCAGGGTTGGGAACTCAGACTCTGCAGAAGACTCAGCTGTCTCTGGCCGATCAGCATTGCGAATATTTTGAGGATAAGAAGACAAAGGTTGTGATTGAGGAGGTGTAAATACAGGTGCAGACCTCTCAGATCTCTGAGGGAATACTGCCCCAGCACGCTGAAATAATAAACCAATTTGGCTCAGAGAAAAAGAAGAGGGAAAAGGCCATATTATCTAAAAGTATTACTTCCATAACCGCATGTTTTAGATATAATGAGATAGTCATGAACAAATGATAGCATATGAGGAAACGAATCCCAAGAAATGCAGCATGTCTGATACAGTTTGAGATGAGAGGCCTCAGCAGACATACCAACAACTCTTGGTAGGCAACATAATATTGTGGATATCTTGCCCTTGCTCCTCCAAAAGCTTCTTGCCAAGTGTCAATAAGAATCAATATCTTCTCTTTGACATGAAAATCAGGCTACAATTGAGCAGAACAAAAACTGAAAACAAGTTTGACTTGAAGAAAATAAATACAAAAGGGGAATTAAAATTACTTACTACCTTTTTCTTTACTATTTTGACCATCTCATGAAGAACATCTCTCTCTGCAACATGCATATGGACAATGTCCCCGCAGTTTTTTATGATAGTCTCTAGTAGCTAAACATAGCAAGTAGACCAAAATTTTTAAACAAGTTTAGTCCTATGAGAAGCAAAGGTGATAAAAAAGATGAGAGAATTGATAATTATATCTAGGGATTAATAGAAATCAATGTAAAAGTTCTCAAAAGCTTACAGTTAGTGCAAGAAGTTGAACTTTAGCATTTTTACTTCCGAGCTTCTTTTTTATGCCTTTCACAACATCTTTTGCTTGCCTGATAAATAAAAATCATATTTGAATACTAAATTCAGTAAAGCACAAAAAATTCAAACTCAAAATATATAAATCCAACCAACTTCGCCTCCCTCCCCGGCAAGAGAAAATTAAAAAAGAAAGGCCATTATTAACCAGAAAATGAGGAAATAAACCATTTGGACCTTTGGACTATCACAAGAAAGCACAGAAAGTAAAAAGCAACAGGAGAAAATGATCAAAAGTAATTAAAAGAACACTATTATATAACTTAATTACCATTAAGCTGACCATGTAAAAGTAACTCAAAACCTGGTTCGAAATTGAGAAGTGAATATCAACACATTAGGATGATAAGGTCACGGCCACTAAAAATAATCTATCACATATTAATCTATCAACTTTAAGAAAAGTAGCTGAGCTCTCTATCACCAGTCCATTTTCACATGAAATTAAATCCTCTACCAAACAACAAGCGCCATATTTAAGAGCTGTATTATCAAATACATCAATGAATTAAATTACTTATTGAACAAAGAAAAAGCAAAGCAAACTGATCAATCCTGATAAACTTCTTAAAACAAAATCTCTTACGTGTTATAAAAGAGAAGTCGGCATTTAAATTTCGCTTAAATCTTCAATTAGTTGCAGAGTAAGAGGAGAAAAAATTAAAAAAAAAAAGAAATAAAAAACAGTCCAAGCAAAATCGAATACCGAAACAAGAAATCACACTAGATTCACCAATCATGATTTTCATTCGTGTAATAATCATCAAATTCACACGCAATCGTCAATAGAATCATAAGAGCTATAACAACTTCTCAAAAAAGAAAGGAGAGATTGGAATCCAGTGCGGCGCGTACCCAGGGTCGTGATTGAGCATGTCGCAGATCTCGATGTTCCTAGCCCAATCAGGCCCGATCAGCATATCGCTAGTAGCTCTCTCCACCATAGAGTTCACCATCTTCGCTCACTAAAGGCAATTCGCACACGCAAAAAAAGAAAAAAAGAAGAAGAAGATCAATCCGGTTCCTGTCACCGTCCGGCGCGATCGCAACGAACAGCAGAATATTCCGGAGACTCCTGCGAAAACACCCTCTCTTTATCAAATAAATCGAACAGTCCAAAAATCGGCAGGTCTCTCTTTCCCTTTCTCTTCTTCCCACCTCGCTTCTCTCACCTATTCTCTCTCCATCCGAGATCAAATCAAATAGTTTTTTATTTTTCCGTTGGGAGAAAAATCATTTCTGTTTTCGTTTTTTAACTTTTTCTCAATTATTTGGGCGGTGAAGTGAAAAAATGAATGACCAAACAAAATTGGCCACGTGTTATTAAACCGAAGCACGCACGTGCCGAATCTAGATGTACTTATATTGATACCGATGGTTTTCCCGACCGCTTACATCAAACGGTTTTTTTATCTCGTTTACTGGACTGGGCCCTTCGTGCGGGTGATTGCTGGAGTTAAAAAAAAAACAAAAGAAGTGGCTGCTGAACGGTGCCGTACTCAGCCTGTTCAACTTTGATGGAACTACTTTCACGTCACCTAGTGGGGATAGATCTATTCTTCACCGGCCAATGAAAAGACAGATTGGTTTCTTGTGAGCTGCGACTTCAAACGACCTTCTATCAAAAAATTGTTCTTTGTTTCTAATCATATTTTTTGAGACACATGAAATGTTTCCAACTCAGAAAGCTTGCCTAACATTACTTAAACAGAAATAACTTTCTTTTAAGTAAATGTATACATTTCGTTAAGTTTTAGTAACTCTTTTCTTAATTCAATATATATATTAAATCAGTACATCAAATAATAGTTTATAGATTAATAATTAATCTGATATTAATATAATATTAATATAAAATATGAAAATAACACACAATCATGTCATAATATTATATCATTATATTATATTATTATTTATTATAATATAATAATATGATAAATCGATAAAATGTAATATTTTAAATAATATTAATTAATTAATTTTTGATTGTAAATATTTATTTAATTTAAAATATAAATTAATAAACAAATATGTGTTTATTTGATGTAATATCTGATTTGAAGGGTTATTGTCAAGTTGACGGGAGTTTTACTTGTTTTGAATGCTCATAAATTCTATGGGGAGAAAGTGAAGTATGAAAAGAATGTACGATGAGGAATTAATAAATTGACAAGAGGACTTTAGAAGCAGAATTTTGATAAACATGTGATCTTGGACTTTCAATTCCTAAGTTGAGAGAGAATCATATATTTATTTATTTTATAAATAATTTTATTTTTTTATTATTAGTTATAATTATTATATAGAAAAAACCAAATCTCATATCATATGTGTAATAATTCAAAACTAAGTATTATATTTACAAGAAATTTTAACACTTTTTTGAAGTTATATTTTTCTTTTTTTATTATTTAAATAATTTATGTAGTCTTATTTAATTCCCGACCAAATGACGGGCGACAGAATCTAAGCAACCACGGAAACGTCGAAGAGGAAAGCAACAAAGTTACAAGAAAAACAGAACCACACAAGGTGTTGTCTTCCGGTCATTATAAAATTCTTATATAAATCTCACCCACTAATTTTCTCCACCGCCTACAGCCTATTGCATTAAGTCTTCTGCGGTCACGAAATATATCTTTTTTAACGTTGAAAGAACAGTAGGCATCACTTTATGGCAAGGGCCAACGGCTTAGGTCACAAGGCACGACTAGAGCATAATCGAGGGCCTGACTAGATTCTTCACTTGCTTTTTTAGGCCTAAATTTCGGGGTCCTTGCATGTTTCAATCATCATTGTCAATATCGAGTTTTGTTTAACAAAGGTAACAGCCTGCCAGGCAACAGGATTCCAACAGTTTTGGCTGATCATTGAGCTTTGAGCATATCGTTTTGGCAAAGATGCAGAGGGGATCCGGGCCCCCATTTTTGCTTTTATGAACTCTACTTTTGCAATCTCGAATATTGGGTGCATTAAAATTGGAAAATGAGTCCAGTTTCAGACTAGTTTCCATGGGAAAGAGACAAGGGTTCTCTCTCTAATCTCTATCTCCACCTCTCAAACCTTTGGGTCTTTTGCCCTGCACTCCCGGGGTTTGCCTAGTGGTAAAATAATAGTAATAGTAATAATGATGATGATATCTATTGCAGATTAAGCACTCTCCTTGCCCGGTGGTTCAGGTGATAAGGAAGTATGGATCTCTTTAGATTTGATAAAATGTAGCATTTTGCCTGGAGTTTTATGTTGATAGTCTTCTTTTAATACCAAGCAAAGAAGCTATTTTCTCTTACCATTATCTCTTTATGGACTTGTAGATCTAATTTTGAACAATGAAGATAACTAGCATTGGATCAGGACAAGGGCCTCAAACTGCTTATTTTGGCTAACTGTTTAATTTCATACAATATATAGTGCTTTGGATTACAGAATTACAGAGTCGTTTGTCTATCTGCAAAGCTTACTGGCAAGAGGCAGATTCATGGCAACGACCTCTCAAAATTTGTAGTCATACCTTCTGATACCAAGATACTGAATTAAGCTTGCTTAATAAGGAACAGGTACTCGGACCGAAGAGGGACCAGATTTCATGTCCTCTAGGATGAAATTCAAGAGCATCTGGGATATTGGACCTTCTTTGCCTACAGATAAACACAAACGAAATTATTAATGCTAAAAGTTGTGATAAGGTAAAAGTTAAAAGACCCTTTTTTTCCAGCTAAACGACTAAAGAATGGGAAACAAAAGATCATATTAAAAATGAAGTAATGGCTTTGGAAGGTGTTAGAATATGCCCAGGGATCTATTTAACATCTCTTTTAAGAAGAAGAGTGGTGCATCAGCTATAAACTACCAAAGCACCATGCTTTAGACTTCTTCCAACAAAGAGACCCTTACCAAATAAGACTGACTCCATAGAACAAACTGTGGATTAAATAGGAAAGGACTTTCTCTTGCTACCACTTTGAAGGAAACAGAGGGGGAGGAAGTGCTCCAGGATCAAACATTTTAAGGCAGTTTGGTTAATGACGCATTATAATTTCAGAGGAAGCACTTTTAAGTTTTAATCCACCAGGAAGAAATGATGTTAGTAAAGTGTCAATCAACCAAAATGCAAGCCAGGTGTAATCCAAGCAAATTTCAATGCAAGAAACTAGTGAATAAAGGTTGCACCTTATGTCACAGAGGAAATTTCTTACCATCACCGATAACCTGTTCATCCCACTGCACTACAGGGCGAACAAGGACTCCACTGCCAATAAGCATCATTTCATCTGCTCTCTTCCCCTCCTCAACACTCACATTATCCACTCTTATTCCATGAAGCTTCCCATCTCTCACCAGTCCCTCTGCAAGAGTCAAAACTCTCTTAGCTGTGCAACCACTCAAAATTTTGTCAAAGTTGGGCATCAGAAGCTCTTTTTCCTTAGTAACAAATGCCACATTCATATTAGGCCCTTCAGCAATAAATCCATCATTATCCAGCCAAATGGCCGCATATGCACCTTTTTCTTCAGCTTCCATCTTTGAAAGCACATTTGGAAGGTAATTTACACTCTTCATGCTGGCAAACCGGGGAGGTTTTATGGGGACCGATGAAGTGACTACTTTGATGCCTTTTGAATCAAACAAAGATTGATCTTCAATCACAATGGCATAAAGGGCTGGTTGATAGCAGCCGGAAGGTGATAGATGGAAGTCACCCGGTCCAGCTGAAATCCAGTATCTCAGTGATCCTTTTATACACTTAGAAGCACTTACAGTTTTAACAAGGATTCTTCTTATAGTCTCACGATCAAATGGAAGGACAATTTTTGCCATGGATGCTGACCTTATGATACGATCAAGATGTTGGTCTAATTCATAGAGGTATCTGAGATGTGACAAACATGTAATGGAGCTTGACAAGTACAAATTAACATGTGAAATTATATTGAGGAAAGACAAAGAGAACGACAATGACATGGGATTGCAATGACTTCTTCATTCTAACAGTTCACAAAAACCTCATAAAGATATCTTTTCTCTTATTAGTTGCAAAAAAACTCAATTTTCTTGACACCAAAGCCTCAATCTTGGTACAAACGAAACATTCTTAAACAAATTCTAAAAAAATTATTAAATTCTCAAGGATAATCGTATTGTTCCCTGTTATGAACAGAGTTTAAGACTTGAATTAGCTACTTTCAAGGTTTTACTGCTTGGAAAGTAACAACAGCATAGAAGAATTTATCTTGTACTTCTCAAATAAGAAGGAAACTGCAACCTTACAACTGAACTTTCATAGTGATGTAGAAAATAGTTGCATCTTAAAATTTATAAACATTAAAATTATAAGATTGTGATTTTCGACACCATAATTTTAGATATAATGCCATTCCAACTTAGGACAAAAAGAGTTCAATTTCTGCTGACAGATTCACTAACCCGTCCATTATTGCAGCAGTATCAAAGACACCATGCCCCCTATGAACCATGTGATCATCCACAGGGATCACCATAGCTGCAGCATCAGTTATTATTCCACCAAAAATGCTAGAGTACATGGCCAGGAATTGCTGCTTTCCTTTATAGTTTTCTCTGTTCTGTTTTAGTTTTTCAATAGCCTTAACAAACAAAAAGTTTAGATTAAGAAAGAAAAAACCATCACTGACACCAAAGTACAAGAAAGGTAAAACGAAACATAGATCTAATAAAGATTCAAGAGAGCAATAAAACCATATGATTCAAAGCTGTCAACTTTATTTCAAAGTGCACCAAATTTTGATTCCAAAATTTCTTAATCTGCTTTATAGAATTGTCATGTAGGAAGAGCAAGACTCTTGAAGAAGAGAAAAAGGTGATTAAGAAGACAAACCTCTGAGCAAGACAGGAGAGGAATGTCTGATAGTTTATCAGTAGAATCTGCCACAAAAGAAAGACAAAATGATCATACTCCAAGACAAATTACCCAAGCAAAGGATGTGATACGAGCCGGAAAAAGACACTAACCGATCAAAGGTTCAGTTTGATTCGAACTTGTAGCGATTCTCAATTCTCTGACGGACCCTTGTTTCGTAAGTGAAAGATTTCGTGGAAAAACACATAAATCATGCAAGTGATGGGTGTGTCTTGGAGGAACATGGGACATGTATCTTGGGAGAGAAGCTGGCAGAGATGCCATGGAAGCTATAGACTCTGTTGTTGAGTGACCGATGAATGAAGATGTCTTGTTTCTATTAGTAGGCTATTCAAGTAGTTGACTAGAGTTCTAGCGGCTGGATTCCAATTGCCACGAATGAGATGACGAGATCCAGTACAAAACTTTGCCGGCCGAATCAGGAATGATGTTCAGCATTTGTTCTCTTTAATGGCGCGTGGGGTCAAACATGATTCCTGGACCACCATGGACCCATGGACCCATGGACCCATGGACCCATGGACTCATGGACCATGGTCCATAGCGTGTACTTTTTTTAATCCATTTTTAAGAAAATTTTCAATACCTTTTATTGAAAATGAGCAAATATAAGGTATTTGTGACTTATTTTATTTAATTCGAGTATCGGTGATCTCTGATAACGTTATTTAGAATTTAAATCTTAATAAAATAAATAAAGAAGTTATACATTTACATCTTGATTCAAGATTTAAAATAATTAAAATATATTTTATTATATGGATTAATTCCATTTCATTCTTATAATATTTCAATGATTGTCAATAAATTAAGATATAATCACTTTAAAAAATGAGTTTATATTTAATACAAGGACCGTCAACTCGACACTCAGATGCGAACTCATAAAATTTTCTAAATGGTGTTATTAGGATGATACTCAAAAAATTTTTTTTTTCATTTTCAGATATGTTCAAAGAATACTTAGATCAAATTTAATATAATTTTTTTAAAAGAATATCGTTGAGTACCATCATTAGTAAAATTTTACTTTTATTGTCTGGGATCTGACTTTTATGAGGAATTTTTTTAAAAATATATTTTCATAACCTATTTATGAAAAATTATAAATCTGGTTAAAATTAGTACTCATTAATATAAATTAAAATATTAAAATTAAATAAAATATAATTTTACATAGTAAATTATGATGTTTAGTAACTAATAATATGATAATTTTCTATTCATTGTTCATAACTAAATATAAGTATCCGCAAACCATATAAATTTAAATATAAAAATCAAATAATCAAATAATATAATTACAAATCAAATAAAAAAATTATAATTTTAAAATATTATTTGACATGCAATACTATTTTCTATTAGTTATATTATAATTATAAATTCAAATTATCAAATTAATCAAAAATATTTAGATATCAAGTACTTAAAAACTTAATTTGTATTGAAAATTTACCTACCATTAAAATATAGAATTGAAAACTGCACTTGAAAAAGCTTTATAAACAAATAATGAAGAAATATACACTAATCTATATCAATTCTATATAGTAAACACACTTACTTTAAAATATAATAATTTAAAGTAAAATACACAAACAATTGAATTATATACTTCAGATTTCAAAAATAACTTAATTATGCAACAAAATCGTAAAACAAATTCCTCTCAATGTTAACAAAAAACAAAATAGCTCAAATGCAATCATTTTTTCATTTTACTTCACATAATATTTATAATTCTCTTATGTTTCAAGTGCTTAACTACTGTTCCTTTTAATTCAATTTAAGCATTTGAAATGAAATCAAAAGAATTGGTTAACAATTGATTACATTAACATCAAGACATAAAATGAGATTGCTTTAGTAAAATCACAAAGTATTAAAATTCCCTAAATCAAGCTCATCAACTGAATTAAAAGCTTGAATAAAAAAATTAAATAAATCAAATAAATAATTAAACAATTTGTTAGTTGATCTTCCATATCTATCTGTATTACTTAAAAAAATTTCAAATTCTTTAAATTGACATTCTTTAAAATAAGTAAGTATTAACTGTGCATTTTTTTCTCAAATTGTTCATATATTTTATTATTCAAATAATTTTAAATATTACGTTCAATTAAACTAACCATATTAATGTCACTTGATTGATTAGTTAAAATAGACATGATTTTGTTAAGATAAATTCTTATATTATCAAATATATCAATTAAATTTCATAAACACGTAAATATTAAACACTTTTTGGAATAGCCAGCTTGTGGATATAGTCCCTTATAAATCTAAAAATTAACCATTTGTTATCTTTATTGGAAACATAAATCATGGTTTTGCATCCAACTCTTGTCTCATCAAGTTGGGCTTCAAATCTATCTTCTCTTCCAATATAATTTTTTGTACAATAACTTTCTTTCGAACAAACAAATTCTTACGCGATGATAAATTGAGTTTTTTAAAATTTTTTTACGCAACCTTTACATATTCTAAATCTTTCACACTTTGCATACTTAGTATAATATTTTAACGCCTCTTCCAATAATTGAACCAACATTCTAACAAATAGCTCTGAACACTTTTGATTTTTTTTTTCATTTCTATTGTTCATTGTGATTATTATCAACAAAATCTAAAATATTTTTATAACCATAATCATGATCAATCCCATAAACCCTAAACTTTCCATCAGCATAAGTTACTATTATAAATATGCAACAAAAATCTGCAGAACATCCCCATAACTCAGCTCTATAAGCGGTACAATTATCCAATTTAGCTACATAACTGCCCAGCCATTGACCTTCCCTCCAGCAGAACCCAAGTTCATGCTGCATTGTTGTGTCCCATCTGAGTTAATTACTACCCAACCAACTATCGGTTGAAGCCAAGAGATTAACACCTCTTCTCGACGTATTAGAGATTCACTAACATAATCAAAAATTGAATATGAATTATCAGTTGCAGCTGCAAAGTTTTTAATTATTGAAAACTTGCTTCTTGTTGAAAATTTACTCCATTCAAAATTTGAAGCATTGCGCCACTCCTAAAGTTACCAACTTGTGATGTCAAAGAGAACAGGCCAAGGCAAGTTTTCAACATTCTGCTGGTGACTATCTAAATTAGAATACAGCCAATCGACCAATCAAATAAGTTCAACAGTCAAAACATGGAATAAGTTCAACTTCATAACTAGCAGACATCATTGATATTGGACAGTTACCTAAACACTACCAATCATACTTAAAATATAGACACCATGCAGCAAATATGTAACATTCAATTTATAATCTGTTTACTTTTCAAAAAAAAAAAAGTTATAATTTGCTCATACATGATAAGCCTCTCAAAAATCATATATATATATATATATTACTAGTACATTAAATATAATCCTTTAAATAAGCAACCATGAAATTTTTTTTACCACAAATCAATATGGTAATAAACAGAAATAAGAATTTATACAGCAAAAATTTACTAATTATAGTATCAGTTTATCATATTTTGTATCAAATATAATCTCTTGAAAGAATTGGGAGACATAAAATCCTATATAAGACCAACCATTTCACGAATCGTACAGTTGGAAACCATACGTGCCCACCCCGCAGGGGAAAACGCGCCAAATCCCAGAAAAATGGCGTAAAATTGCTGTTCACAACTGAAAGCAACGCAGCGCCGGCAACCGCCTCTCCAACTTCGATTCAAGAACCCAAATTGAAACCCTAGATCAGTAATTTCAATCAAATTCGTTCTCATCCTTTAAAAAAGAACTAGGTCTATCTTTTTTTAATTCCAAAATAGGCAACTAGGGTTGTTCAAAACCCTAGACTTCACATTCTTGCATTTGCTAACAATAGCTAAAGGTTTAAAAACCCTTGGTCAATTACCTACTGGGTTAGTGTTTTCCAAGCGAAAGCTTCGATGGCTATTATTGGCGACGCGCTACGGCAAGCGTTTATGCCGAAGCACGAATACGAAAGCCTAAGAGAGGAAGACAAAGCTTGGACGAAGCTTCAAAGACCGATCTTAATAGGTTCCATTGGGATCATTTGTCTCGCGATCTTTGTTTGCACAATTATAAGCTTGAAGATCGTGTTTCCAGGTGATGATTTGAAGCGACCGTTTTGCGACGACCGGAGACTACAGCCTTTGCCCGTGAATGTAAAAGGAGGAGGTGGCGGCGATTCGGATCTGTTGCCCGGAGCGTTTTATTTGACTGATCAAGAGACTGTGGATTACTATTGGATGGTTGTGTTTATTCCATCCATGATCATTTTCTTGGCTTCGGTTCTGTATCTTGTAGCAGGTCAGTCAAGATTCTGTTATTTACGCTTTGTTTCCTTTAAGTGAAATTTATAGCGAGTATGACATTTCTTTCGAGATCTTGTTTAGAAGAGTATGAAGATACAGAATTGCACATTTTGAAAGGAGGAATGTTGGCTGAATTAGGGAGGCTATAAAGTTCACTTTTTGTTTATTCTTCAGTGTCAGAAATTTGTGCCTGGAGATTGGAGGATTATCATGGCTAAGAAGCTGATAATGGCCCCTGGCTACACATTTTGAAATAACTAGGGAATATAGATGGAATACCATTCTTAGACGATATTAAGAAAATTAAGATTCTTACTAGACCTGCTCAAATGGTATGGGAGGCTATTATTGGTTGTCTGGTTTAGTCTTCGCAAAATGAATTGATCCTTTAATGGTCTCCACTCTTTTGTGTAAGTTAGGTTCCCAGTGGTAAATGGTTGATTTACATAATCTCTGCCTATTTGGTTAGCTTCTCAATTAGTCATTGCTTCTATTTTATACACTTCACATAAATTTTGGGTAACCAGTCTATCGACCTCTAGTATTGACTTTCTGTTGTTATTGTGATGTTAAACTGGCCCCAAGAATTTTGGAACTTGCATTTAGACTTTTGTGTGTGTTATGCACGTTATTCAGACGATTTTACTTTTGCTTTATGGATGGCTACTGTTTCTTTTTGTTAGTGTTATGTGTTGGTTTTTCTAATGCTAAAATTTTGTGAGGATTGCTATGGTGGTCTTTGAATTTTCTTGTATTTGTATTTAATTCCTTGTCATATTTCCTTTTAGTTTATTAAATTATCCTGGCTTCTTGGTTTGCAATCTTGATTTGACTATGCTTTCTGCCTTTTCTATCTCTAATGGTTTTAGTCATGATTCAGGAATTACTGTTGCTTATTCAGCTCCAACAAGGCATGGATGTTTAAAGGTGGTTGAGAATAATTACTGTGCTTCAAAAAGAGGTATGCCTATTTGTTATTTCTTTTACTTGATCTCCTATTGGTATTGGAACTTTTGGCCCATTCTAGGTTTGTTATGATTCCATGGAAATTGTTTTCTCACTGCTCATGTTTTGGAGATCTAAAATAAACTAGGTAATTTTAAAATGGCGCTACTTGTTGAAATCTGTTGTTTTGCTGGAAAGAAATGGGAAGATGGAAGTTGTACTTGTTCTAGCTACAGCTTCAAAGTAAATGACCAGATCTTCTTTGTCTTTCTCCTCCTCCTGAAAATTAGTGTAAATTAAATTATTGAAATTTGGCTCTATAAAGCTATGAAGACAATTAACAGCTTGAATAGATATACTTATTCATTTGCTAGGCTTTTTTTGAGGTCATCGGAACCGCTACTATTTGTTACCGTTTTATCTCTGTTCTTATGTTGCTGTTTTTCTTATGTGCAAATATTACTTTCATAGATAAGAATGCATGTTGAGTTACCATATTAACTTTATTGCAATCTACAGGTGGGGTTCGTTGCCTGTCCATTTTGAATGTGGTTTTTGCCATCATTTTCGGTCTTCTTGCTTTGTTCTTGGGTTCAAGCCTCCTCACATTAGGGAGCAGTTGCTCATTGCCCTTGTTTTGGTGCTATGAAATTGGTTCGTGGGGGCTGGTGATTCTATATGCAGGAACTGCCATCTTCTTAAGGAGGAGAGCTGCCATAATTCTTGATGAAGGAGAGTTTGGCAGTCGAAATCTTGGTTTAGAAATGTTGGAGGCTAACCCCTTGGAAGTGACCCCAGATGTGGAAAGGCGTGTTAATGAAGGCTTCAAAGCATGGATGGGATCATCCCTCCTATCGTCTGACGATGAAGATGAACCTGAGAGTTATCATGATGTGCCTCATTTAACACGTACAACGTCTAACAGGCAGAGAGTGTGATCTTATATCAAGTCACGCCCAGTTACAGACTTTGTGTGGAAAATTTCACTACTTTGCTGCCAGCAGGAAGCTGGTTCAATTTTGGAGTGTGGAAGCTCACGTGTAAGAGTTGTTCAACCAACAGCAGATGAACGAATGAATTCTAATTGTAGTGACAATCATGATGTCTGGTTGATTGTGCTGTCGATTGCTTCACTCCTCGTAGGTGACCTTCGTAGCTTGTGAATAGTTAACCACAGTGACTCATTGCCATTTTGTGTTTTGCGCCTTATTCATGAAAAAGTGATATACGTTTTAGATACACTTTCTTGTAGAGCTTGTGTACTTGCCCAACTGGGTCATCAAAGCTTCAAAATTCAGTGATGGCAGAAACCATTAAATGCTGTTCATTGTGCCTCTAACATGCTTTGTTGGTGGATGAATGTCAACTGATTTTAGTGTGCTATGCATGTCATTTCGCAAATTTGACCAGGTGCAGCTGATGTTTATGTTTAGAAAAAATAAAAAGAAAATTGTAAAAATATAGAGGTTTGCATTTTTCTCTGGACAAACCTGGCATTTGGACTTGGCATGGTAAAATGGGTTAGGCAAGTTTTTTTGTGGGCCGAAAGGGGATTATGACAAATGGCAACAAAGCCCAAAACGTAGTAAGGGAATGGGCTACCAATTTTGCCCAACTGCTGACTGTCTCAGCGGTTTCGAGTAAGATTGGGCTTACATAAACAAATTGAAAGCCCAAAATCCTAAGTTCCAGACATCACATGATCTTTCCTCACTAAACCCTAATCTCTTTCTGTCTCTCTCTCTCTATACACTATTGTTTACAGTCGACGGTCCTCACTACCAAATCTCTTGGTTGAGGTGAACATCTCCTATCTCCTCAACATCTTCTAATTACTTGACAATCTCTCCTCAACGATGGCAACCAACTACGATTACGAGGAGGCCCCAGCCAACTACGACGAAACCCACCGCCAAGACCTCGGCTACGACCCAACTTCGTCCCGACTCTGTCAAGTCATTCGTAGATCCCTATACCGTCACATTCGCGAGAAAAATGTCTACGAATTCACCAGATGTACGAGATCTCATTCCAGACCCTCTCGGACCGTCTCTTCAAGACACTCCCTGGCCCTCCGTCGACGCCGTCGCTCATTACGTTGACAACGACCAAGTATTTTGCCTCCTTTACCGTGAGATGTGGTTTCGCCACCTCTATGCTCGCCTTTCTCCCACTCTCAAGCAGAGGATCGATTCTTGGGATAATTATTGTAGCCTCTTTCAGGTAATTATTTTTAATTTGTGATCATATCTGGGATTCTGTGACGTGGAGTAATTTGATTGGGCTTTGGTTTTTCCTTAGGTGGTGTTGCATAGGGTAGTTAACATGCAGTTACCAAATCAATGGTTATGGGACATGGTCGATGAATTTGTGTACCAGTTCCAGAGTTTCTGTCAATACAGAGCCAAAATGAAGAACAAAAGTGAGCAGGAAATCGCGCTTCTGAGGCAATATGATCAGGTATTTCAATTCCCTGCAACTTGATTATTGGTCTTTTTGCCTTATGAAATTATGAAAGCAACTTGTCATTTGAACTGTAGTTATTCTCATTGTCGTTGTGGGGATATGATGTTTTTCTGTTTCTTTTATAGGCGTGGAATGTGTATGGGGTGCTTAACTACTTGCAAGCCTTCGTGGAGAAGTCGAATATTATTCAGATATTAGAGCACGAGAAGGAGGGTCTTGAACAATTTACTGCTACTGATGGGTATGATTACAGTGGTGGAAGCAATGTCTTGAAGGTGTTGGGATACTTCAGTATGGTGGGTTTGTTACGTGTACATTGCCTGTTGGGTGATTACCAAACCGGGCTCAAGTGCTTGCTTCCTATTGACATTAGTCAACAAGGTGTTTACACCAGTGTTATTGGAAGTCACATTACAACCATATATCATTATGGGTTTGCCAATCTCATGTTGAGGAGGTATGTTTTCATTTTGCCATATTTACCATGTAATGAGTTCTTAATGTATAATAACTTTTTCTGCCTGTACTAAAATTGTTATTCAACTTCAATTCTTGTGTCATTTTTTGGTTGAGCTTGATAAGAATAGTTCTTTTTATTAAAGGTAGTATTCTTTTATTAAAGGTATGTGGAGGCTATTCGTGAATTCAATAAGATTCTCTTGTACATTTACAAGACCAAGCAGTATCATCAGAAATCTCCGCAGTATGAACAGATACTGAAAAAGAATGAACAGATGTATGCCTTGCTGGCAATATGTCTTTCACTTTGCCCCCAAGTGAAGCTTGTTGAGGAGACTGTGAACTCTCAATTGCGGGAGAAATATGGTGAAAAGATGGCTAGGATGCAAAGATATGACGATGAAGCTTTTGCCATCTATGATGAGCTCTTCTCATATGCATGCCCCAAGTTTATTACTCCTTCAGCTCCAAGTTTTGAGGAGCCCCTTGTAAATTACAACCAGGTACTTAGGTTTGTTGTTTTCTAGGCAATCTTAAGAAAGATTTTGGTGGAAGCACATTAAATAAATCATTTATGCTTGTTCCTTTTGATATTTACACGCACGATCCTTTCAGTTATTTTCAGTATACATGTTTATGTCACATAAACTTGCAGTAGTTTGGCTCTTTTATATTTCTTATATTGCTAATAGTTTAGTTGCCCCTAAAACAATCAATTATCGGGTCATAGGTTGTTTACTATTTCTTGGAACTGAGAGGTTGTGCACCCCTAGTTTTGGTATGAAAAAAACATACCTGCAAATTTATCTTGTTAGATTCACAAATAATATGGATGTAGAGCTTAGGCACATGTTATGTTGGTTCATTGTATTTAGTAGATGATTAGCTTTCCACAATCTAATGTATTTAGTTCCTGCAATTATTGTGTCTCATTTGGATGGAGACCTAGTCCCTAGGACAAAGCTTAGGTGGTAGTAGGGTGGGAGAGATATTGTAGATCTTAAGTTCATATACTTATTTATTGTTGAGGAAGAGAAGTTAAAAGTTCACTTGGCATGTTCTTTAAGATTGGTCTTCTTATATTGGCCTTTCTTTTTGTTTGTGTTATGTGAGTTTTACCTACTACAATTTAATTTATTTTACTGCAGGATGCCTACAGACTTCAGTTGAAGCTGTTTCTTTATGAAGTGAAGCAGCAACAGTTGTTATCAGGTGTCCGGACTTTTCTTAAAGTGTATTCAACTATATCACTTGGGAAGCTTGCAAATTACATGGAAGTGGATGAGCCCACTCTGAGGTGGACATTTTTTTCCTTCCTCATGTTCCTTTGTATTTGATTTAACCATGGGTGCTTAATTTATTGTGTATGAGGTAATGACCATCTTTTTGTCTTATTTTATAGGACTATCTTGTTGACATACAAGCACAAAACTCATGCTGTTGATTCCGATGGAAAGATTACCTCTAATGCTGATTTGGACTTCTACATTGATGATGTATGTTAATTTTTATCTTAAGCAATTATCTATGTGCTGTTTTGAAAATATCTTTAAGTCATGATGCCATCTTTAGAGCTATCTTTAGTTGCAGGCACAGATAGCACACACAAGCAAGTTTTGTTGATATCTCCATTGGAAAACAATAGCTGAATTACTTTCAGACTAGCTAATGTAAATTAAAACTTAAAGTTGTGTCAAGAGATGGTTTTCAATATCTCATATTAGGCTGTGAATTCCCTTTTTTCTTTGGAGGTTAGCTTGAAAGAATTTCTCTATTTTTTGGCATTGCAAGTCACACTCTACTTTGGTGCAGGATATGATCCATGTTGTTGAATCCAAGCCTGTGAAACGTTATGGTGATTACTTCTTGCGACAGATTGTCAAGGTATGGTATATATACTTCTTGCTTATGCATGCATAGCCAAGCATTTTGGGTTTATTCTACTTACTACTTATGGTGATCTTTTTTTGACCCTTTTATTACAGCTTGAAGGGGTGATAAATGATATGGATCGGATAAAGCTGGAATAGGTTGCCAATTTATCTCGCTTGGAGTTGACAGATTTTACTTGACGGTTTTACCTTCACACTTGGAAGAGATTTAATTTTATTTACATGGGCATTTTGATGCCTTATTTTTGAATTAGTGGAATGTGCTTAGCTTCAGATGTAGTTGTGTACCTGCTGTGTCGAATTCAATTTAAGATATAAATAGTTACTTGATAAGAGCACCGGAAGAACTAAGAACGTCAAAGAGGTTTAATCCTAGTTATGCTTTGCTGGCATGGCCGAAAATTTTTTGTGTGATACTGTAATCTTCTACCGAGCAATCAATGAACTGAACATTCAACCGTGCAAAATGAATGTCGTTGAGTACTCTCCTCCTTCCTCCATGAGGGACGAAGCTGATTTCCATCCAATATTACCTACATTGCCTGCCATGGTTTATATTAGTTGCAGAAGCAAGTTTGGGCATCAATGATGACTCTTTCCAGAAGTTTGGTATGGACCATAATTTTAAAGGAAAAAGATTCATAATTCACTAGGAGGTTAGGTGACTTGTTTTTCCATTGTGGGTTAGACGACCATTGGCCAGAGGAAATGGAACTTGCATTAGTCGGAAATTCAGGAAATTTCTGTGCTCTCTCCAAAGCCTTGGATATTGCCGAAGGGAGTTGGAACTGGCTTTGCCTTGACGATGCTTTCCCTCCAAAGGGCTGTCGTTATTTTACACCTAAAATATCAAAGACTCTGTGCAATTTAGTCTCCATCCGCTGCAGGAACTGTTTGACTTGTCTCACGTTTTGAATGGCAGTTACACCCGCCCTTTGCGTCTCTTCTTCTTCTTCTTCTTCTTCATCTTCTTCTTCATACTACAGTCTTTGTTCGTATCCCATCTAACTTTCAACGTAACCACCATTTAGGTAATTACATCTATTTCGCTCTCTCTCTCTGTCTGGCTCTGAGTTAATCATCACTCGCTCGCTCGCTCGATCGCTTACTCACAGTTAAGCGCAGTGTCGACTCCGAATTGCCAAGAGAACAATTGTGTCCCTATAATATGGATGGCTAAAGGCTACCCTTTCTCTTCTCTTTCTCATGAGACATGCTCTTCTTCTCTTCCCGTCCTAACCGCATGGCTGCGGCCACCACCACTCTGATACATAAAGTCTCCGTTCAGTGGTATCTCAGATCGAAAGGCAAGTCCATGTTTGCTTACCATTAGTGTTTGTGACCAATTACGGATACTTATCTGCCAGCCAGCCAGCCATGACAAGGTGCGGCAGATGCTGCTTGCACTACTCAATGAAGATAGTCAACCTCGTTATGAATTTTCTTGGGATTGCCATTATTGTCTACTCCCTCTGGCTCCAAAAGAAGTGGGATGATGGTTTTGCTGAACTGCCGTCTCACTCATCTCTTCCCAAACCATGGTAGACTCTTACCTATAATAGTATATCAGTTGTTCTTGGTCTATGTTGAAATCAGATTATTCTCATGGTTTTTGTTATTTTCATTGATTATTTCCTACTATAGCATGTTTCTCTTCTTACTCATCTGTGTTCAAGGAAAATTTTCTCTTTTCAAGTTAGATGTTTATGTAGAATTTCCCATTTAGCATTGGCCAAGCTTGGTCATAAACATAGATAGCTTAGCTTGGTCAAGCACTAAATGGAAAATTGTACATAAGCATGGCTTACTTTGAGTTATCTACATATATCTGCTTCTTTTAGTTCAATTTGTTCAAATGGACTCTGAAAATCAACTAGCTTCTTTTAGTTCAAAACACGTAAAATCACTGCCTCACCAACTTTGCTATCTTTGGTACCAAATCTACACACTTCTGAACATTTTTGCCTCTGTTTAACAGGTTTATCTATACATGTTTAGGTGTGGGAATTGCTGTCTGCTTGAGCACGCTGTTCAGTTATATGGTCTCTAATTATATCAACAATTCCATTCTTTGCATAGTATCCTTTTTAATGAGCTTGGATTTCCTTTATTTGTAACTTGCCATGATTGAGAGAGAACAAAAACGAAGAAGGAAAAAAGGATATGTAGGATTCTGAAGTTTCATTAATTGAAACTTTTATGGGAAGATGGCAATGAAGTTGCTTTCCTCATTGCCTATATGTGCTGTGGAAAGAAAAGAACACTTTTTTGGAATAAATAATTATTCCAAATTTTTTTAGGTAGTATTTCCATTCAGTCAGTGACCAAGCTATTCCTCAACCAAGCTTTTAGTACATTTTCAGCATCTCCTCCCTTCTTTTTCTGGAAGTTGCTGTGATTGTCACAATTTTCTTCAAGCATGACTGGAGTTTGGTATGCTCTCTCGACACCCATATTGACTACCACGGTGCATTTTTTGGATATCTCCTGTTTGAATATAGCTTCACATGTTAACAATCAATCAGCTTAATCTCGATCGACATGTTCAAATCCTGGAAGAGGGTTTAACGTTTGCTGAGAGTAAAATATTCTGATTTTTTTTCTTAAAGTTGCTTCACAAATAGCTCTCTCAGTTGGTTCAAACCACTCTTCTAGCTTGGCTGTAAATTCCTCTTACCTCCTATCTTACTGCATCGATCCTTCCTCTGTGACAGCTAATATCTAAATACATTGATGAGAGCCATGCAGATTTCAAGACTTTTATTATCTTCCATGAGAAGATGTGTCAGCTGATTGCTCTCATGATTTTAGTGCCACAGGTAATCCTATCTCTTTCATGCTGTCCTGTGATTACATTTCCATCAAACACAACACTGCTTCTTTTGTACAAAACTTGTATACAAGCTTTTACTTTCTATTTTGATGGAAAAGCAACCCAAAATTTTTGTAGTTAATAGCCACAAATGTGTTCATAGAAAGAAAATCATTTCCATACAATCCTTTTCACTTTTTAATCGATAAAACATCTTGAAAGTGACCATAAATTAAAGTAAAATTGTTCAGTAGTTGCTGTTTGATGTTGCATACTTGCCAGTCAAAGATATAAAACCATTTGGTAAGTTTTGGACCATTTTGTTTTTTGCAGGTCAGTGTCATTGCTTTAGCAATAATCCTGTGGACTGTTGGCATTGAGAGAATGGCCGGGACCCGGCATTTAGAAATACCCGATTTCACCAGGTCCTTTCTGGTGGGAACAGAGTCTGGCATACTCGATAACACCAGACTGACTTGCGGCAGATGTGAAGTTTTGCGCACAGGCCATCCAAGACAAAGCTTGTTGGCATATGTTGAGAGCGTTTTTAGAATGCAATCCCAAAGAACACCCATTGTTTGTTGAATTTTTTGTTACCTTAATGACAAAATGTCAAATTCTTCTTGTACTTTATTCTGGGTTAATTGTTAAAAGAAGAATCATCTCTTGGCTTTTCCCTCTTATCTGATTGTAAACTGGAAGTTGTTGGCTGTGAAAAGGCTGGTCTTTATCGAGATATCTAAAGGGGACCAAGACCAATAACATTAGCTCTGTTTGATGAACAAAAAAAAAACCAAATTAGCATTGAATTTGCTGCATATCCCAGATTGCTTCATAAGGCTGACCCTGACCCACTTAGGTTTCCACTTGAGAAACCATAAAAACACATTTGTTGCGGCATTAGCTCCCATTCTTCATCTTGGTACTACTTATGGAGTATCAGAAGCTTAACGAGATGACCACAACTGACTCAGCTGACGATTCTCTGTTCCATAACGTACCTCCAGCTCCTGATATTCCAGTCTACGCGGTACTGGCTTTTATGCTTTTTCCAAGTAATTGTACCAAATTCTTACTGATTGTTCTATACCCTACTGCTTTCTGTTCAAATTCAAGAGGCTTGGAGTTCGTTCACTGCCTAGGAGTACTTTGCTGTTGTCTATGGAGCTTACTAGCAAGTACTTGATTAGGGACTCAAACATCCAACCTGGTTAATGATCGTTTCAATACTTCAACTGGGTTTTGACTACTGTGCTCCCAATGGGTCCTTGATCCGGATTTTTTTTTTATCTATTTTGATGAATATATATGTCAAAATTGATTCTTAACTGCGGCCAAGTTCTAATTGAAGGCAGAAACACCAGGAAATATCTCAATTCTGTCTTGTTAGGCTTGAAATTATCACCAACTCTGATTTTCAATGTCAGGTATACAAAATGTAAAGATTGGGGTAAGGAAACAAGTCAAGTTGATGTTAAATTTTTGAATCAAAAATTTGAGCAGTATTTTTTAGATTGGTTTAATCAAAATGATGGGAAGCTTGTGCTGCAGCATTTCTAACCGTTGTCCAGTATTAGAGTCCCTTTCTCTATTTTGTTTGTTGCTTCAAGAATTAAGATTTCCTTGGTCTTTTATGCTGTTATATTGTATGAAAAGACAACAGTCGCTTACAATAAGGACACCAGCACAAACAAGCTGCACTTGGGGATTGGTGTTTATCGAACAGAGGTGAGCATTTGTTCCTTTTGCCAATTTTATTGATATTTCTCTCACCCACATTGACCACTGCAAGTATAATTCTGGATGGAATGCTTGTGATATGGGGTTGCATTCATCCATAACGTGTATTTATCTATCCATTTCAAGATTTTGGCATGCTGCCAAAGGATGTGAACTTTTATCATGGTTATAGTCTTTGCACTTCGATATAATCATTCCAATTACCAGCTTCTCACCAGTAAAATGAAGCCATGATATTGTTGCAAGGCTGATTCTTTCAGGTATCATATTTAGTGAAATAAACACCATACCATACCATTCAGTTACATTAGGCTGTTGATGGCTGAGCAGCAACTCTATAATTATGGATAAATATTAGAAAGATAACTTTCATGAGCATATCATTATATCACAATGCTTATTTGTCTTTGATGCAAACAATAGATGGGCTTTGTTCATGGCATGACAGGACGGAAAATCTCATACGCTGAACGTTGTTAGACAAGTGGAGCAGACACTAGCTAATGACCTGTAGGTATTTTATTATTGTTTTTGCGATCATAACTTTGCTGGAGTCATGACTGAACTCCATTTTATCTGACTGATGTTTAGGTCTGCTGATAAGGAGTACCTTCCCATAACAGGAATGGCAGAATTTAATAGATTAAGTGCTGAACTCGTATTTGGTTCTGGCAGGTACAGAAATACTAGCGTGGTTTAAAATATTTAGTAGACCAAATTTCCCATCTCCTGGTGAGGAAGTATTGAAATTTTAAAAACTAAAAATACTGACTATAAGATTGTGTATCATTTAGCAAGGCTGCAGTTTGCATATTCAATCTTAAAAATATAAAGATCTCTGATGATATTAGGCTATTTCGTGAACTTTTTTTTTTTGGCTGCTTTAAGCTCTGATTTTTAGCTGAAGGTATCTTTTCTGTTGCTGGCTGCTTATATCATTTGCTTTTGAAAAGCCCTGCCATTAAGGAAAGTAGAGTGACTACTGTCCAGTGTGTGTCTGGTTGTGGCTCACTGAGGCTCGGGGCTGAATTTTTAGCAAAACATTACCCCCAAGTAAATGACTTACCCCTTGTTCCTTTATGCCATACAATCGGACTGTTTAACCTTACTGTCTACCTTAATTTGCAGCTTGTGGTTTACCTTCCTGAGCCAACATATGGAAATCATCCAAATTTGTTATCTGCAGCAGGACTAGCTTTGAAGACTTACCGTTATTATGATCCAAAAACACGTGGGCTAGATTTTCAAGGTCTACTTCTTTTTCAACAAATTTCGTTTGTGGAAGCTTCATCTTGCACACTGCAATTTGATTTGGACCACTAGTTCTGTATATCATATTTATTACAAGTTTAAGCAATAATTGTGTGTCTCAATTTGGATAGTGCAAGAGATACCTAATTTTATTCTAATGTCAGTTGTCTTTTGTTGAACAATGATTTATTCCAAAGTGGTTATAACATCCCCCTAACAAAGTATCTTGCACCGGCTATGATTATCATCATTGTTCTCCTGGATTTAGATAATTCATCTTGGTGGTGATAGGCCTTTTGGAAGATCTTGGCTCTGCCTTAACTGGAGCCATTGTGCTCTTCCAAGCAAGTGGTCATAATCCTACTGGTGTTGATCCAACTTGTCAGCAGTGGGAACAGATCAGGCAGTTAGTGAGACTGAGAGGCTTATTACCTTTTTTTGATTGTGCTTATCAGGTAGTCAACTATTAAATACTCATGGCTTTAGGTTTTTGATTGAACTTCATTTACTGATTGATGGACTGCTTGTAGGGTTTGGTAAGTGGAAGTCTAGATGCTGATGCACAGTCCATTCGGATGTTTGTTTGTGATGGTGGTGAAAGCCTTGTAGCTCAATCATATTCAAAAACCATGGGACTATATGGGGAACGCATTGGTTCGCTTAGCATTGTAAGCCACTATGTTAAATCTCCCAACAGCTAATATCCATCTCTGTTTTACCGAACAAGATTGTTCAAATATCTGCATATTAGTCACTACTATAATAATCATAATTTGGATATAGGTTTGCAAGACAGCGGATGTGGCAAAGCGGGTTGAGAGCCAGCTCAGGCTTGTGATCAGGCCCTTTTATTCAAACCCACCCATTCATGGTGCAGCCATAGTTACTGCCATTCTGAAGGATAGGTAATATATTATTCAGTTACTAGACTTTTAATTCCTCAGGTGTCTGCCTTGTTTCTTAAATTTGTGAATTCTTGTTTTATGTAAGAAGAAGATTACTGAAAGGTAATATGAAAAGGTAAAAAACAGTAGAAATGCATTCAAACGAGTATTTCTGAAATAACACAATAGAGTTAAGGCGTATCTGAGAATGTAAATGAGGTTGGATTCCCTTTCCAGTGGCAATATGAATAAATGTTATGATTATTAGCCAGTATACCCATGTTTTGGAGCTTTTAATCTTAATACTGTTAGAAATTATTTATCTAGCATCGAATCCATGCTTTAAACTCTTTTCGGTTTGCTAATTCTTAACCTGTAGGGACTTGTACAACGAATGGACTAGTGAACTGAAAGCAATGAGTGATCGTCTTGCCAAAGTACGACAGCAACTCTATGATGCTTTATACAACAGAGGTAAATCCTTGTAAGTTCTGTCAATTCTTTACCTCTATGTTGACTGTTGGATGAGTTGCTTTTAATCATTCAACTATGAACTTAATCGTTACTAAGAGAGGCTCTCAACGGTTGCTGATTAGGCCTTTTTACCTTTTCTTTTGGCAGGGACTCCAGGGGATTGGAGCCATATTCTTAGGCAGGTCGGAATGTATACCTTCACTGGATTGAATGAAGAGCAAGTCGGCTTCATGACTAAAGAATACCATATCTACATGTCAGCTGATGGGTAGTTTCATCTACTACTCATAGCTTTATGTTTAGTTTTTCTTCCTGTTGAGTCATCCAGCTCATGTTTCTCTTGCTCATCATCAGCCTTTGTGCAACATTTACCCTAAACCATCTTTAGATCTTTGCCATGTTTCTATCAATAACTAAAGCTATACTCTTCATCAAGTTTCCTCATCAATCACCATTTTAACCTGCAGGAGGATCAACATGGGAGGCCTAAGCTCAAAAGCAGTTCCACATCTTGCAGATGCAATACATGCTGCAGTTACTCGTATCATCTAAAACCTATCCCTGAGCTCTCTTATCTTCCCCAGCTTCCATCCGATAGAAGCCTGGACGGTAGCCTATAGCCTGCACATGCTACTTGATCCTTCAAGCTGCTCACAAGAGGACATTCTGAACAATTTATTTGAACATGTCTAATGTTTTTCCAATCTATTATTGAACAACTGAACTGAATTTTGCATACATATGAGGGTTTCCCCATCTTTTTCGTAACGCAGAAAGTTGGGTTTCTGAAGGGATGGAAACGTAGGATACGTGTTACAAACAAATAAGAAAAGTCGTGACACTGACCATTTATCCTCGTAGAAGGCGTTGAACAAAACTCTGCCTTGGCAAACGTGCCAGGAACCCAACTGGTCTATCACCTCGGGAAATCCATACGCCACGTGGCTCTTCCTCTTGCCCGCTGGAAAGGCCCTCAAATTAACGGCAAAGGTGGGCCCCATTGAATGGAGCAAAACGTCAGCGGATAACAACCAGCGACCATCACTCGCCGCGTACTGGCGTGAGCTCTTTGTCAATCTTTTCTTTATAAAAACAAAAACCGAACTATCAGTTTCGGCGAGCGCGAGCAAAAGCAAAAATATTTACCAAGGACAAAAACGAAGAAGCGTAGATTAAGATTAAGCGTTCAAACTCATCAAGAAAGCTAACATGCGCCCAGAGTTGACGTCATCTTCTCCTTCGCCCACCGATCGGCGGTTAAGCGCTCTGGTCAGACACCTTGCGTCCGCGTCGCCGTTGATGGAGTCTCAAACCGCCATATCATTTTCTGCCACAGCCAGTTTTCACGGCGAGTCGGTTTTCTCTCACGTCGTTCGTGCCCCTGAAGATCCCATTCTCGGAGTATCTCTCTCTCTTTCTTTTTTCATTATAATCAAAATAACTAAGCAGGTACAGTTAGTTAATCCGTACCGTTGGCTAATTAGGTGACCGTTGCATATAACAAAGATCCCAGTCCTGTCAAGTTGAATTTAGGAGTTGGTGCTTATCGAACCGAGGTAATTTTCGTCTTTTACAGAAAAACGTTGGATTTTCTTGTTTCTTCTTGCATGAAATGTTCAATATCTCTGTATTTTGGTAACAGGAAGGAAAGCCTCTTGTTCTTAATGTGGTAAGAAAAGCAGAGCAAATGTTGGTCAACGACAGGTCACGTGTTAAGGAATATCTTCCCATTGTCGGATTAGCAGAGTTCAATAAATTAAGTGCTAAGCTCATTTTCGGCGCTGACAGGTTTGTTAATTGGATTTTTGATCTTATCAAAGAGTTTGCATTAGTTTTGTTCTATAATCCCTTTATCTTCTTTTTTGTTTGAATGTAGCCCTGCTATTCGAGAGAATCGGGTTACTACAGTTCAATGTTTGTCTGGAACCGGTTCATTGAGAGTTGGAGCTGAATTTTTGGCTAGGCATTATCATCAAGTAAGCTTCTTGTTTATTTTTATTATGTATTTATTAACCTTTGGGCCAATTTAGAGGTAATCAATTTTCATTCTCGACTGTACTTTTTGGTGTTGTTTTGCAGCGCACTATCTACATTCCACAGCCAACATGGGGAAACCACCCCAAGATTTTTACTCTGTCAGGACTATCTGTGAAAACTTACCGCTACTATGATCCAGCAACACGCGGATTGAATTTCCAGGGTATGAAAACTTCTACAAATGTGTGTATTGTTTTTTACTAGCTACATGGATGCAATTGTGTATTTTGTGTCGTTATTGTTGAAGTTGCTTCTTCATGTTTAGTTGTGCATACCTTGTTTTTGATTCTTCCTTCTCTGGAGTCCGATGAGGACCTGATAGATTTAGTTGTATTCTGTTAATTTCTTGATTATATGATATTCTTTTCTTGTGGCTAACAGGGTTATTGGAGGACCTTGGTTCTGCCCCTTCTGGAGCTATTGTGCTTCTTCATGCCTGTGCTCATAATCCAACTGGTGTTGATCCCACCCTTCAGCAGTGGGAGCAAATTAGGCGGTTGATGAGATCAAAGGCGCTGTTACCTTTCTTTGATAGTGCTTATCAGGTAGGTAGAAACTGAATGCAACAATGTGTATATTACGTTTGCATATCAAGAAACTTAAACAGTTTGAATCATTTAATTGGTTGGATTTGAATGAAGTTACCATTTCAAAGTGGATTAAATGCGGTCCTGTTATTGTAGGGTTTTGCTAGTGGCAATCTGGATGCAGATGCACAGTCTGTTCGCATGTTTGTAGCTGATGGTGGTGAATGCTTTGTTGCTCAGAGTTATGCGAAGAACATGGGCCTCTATGGGGAACGTGTTGGTGCACTAAGCGTTGTAAGACTCTAAGATTGATGTCTATGAGATTTAGTATTCACTAAATAACAATCTTTTGATTGATAGTAGCTTCTCTTTTTTCTTTTTTTTTTGTGTGTGTGTTTCTCTTTTTGTACAAGTCATGTCTTATCAAGATTTTGTCACCACAATGTACAATTGTGACTTAGTAGATCAACTTGTGCATCTTTCTCTGTCTTGTTTGTGGACCTACAGAAGGTATTCTGATTGTTTATAACAAATTTTATCATCAATAGGTCTGCAAGACAGCTGATGTAGCCAGCAGGGTTGAGAGCCAGTTGAAACTTGTTATTCGGCCCATGTTTTCAAATCCACCAATTCATGGTGCATCTATCGTGGCTACCATCCTGAAGGACAGGTATGTGTTTATGGTTATCCACATCGCTGTTGCCTGCATCTTGCAGTTTGCAAGAACTCTATTTGTTAATTGGGTTTTGCAGATACCATGCATGAGGAAATAGACTCAACAAATCACACCTATCCTGCTTTTTTACTTTGGTTTTCTTTCTTTTTATGGATTTCATACTCCTAAAAGGATGTCCTTAATTTTCTTTTTCCTTTTCCACCAACAGAAACATGTACAATGACTGGACTATTGAGTTGAAGGCAATGGCTGACCGCATCATCAGCATGCGCCAGGAACTTTTTGATGCTTTGCGTGCTAGAGGTAATCTCAAAGTTCTTTCTATCTTAGTTCAATTTCTTGCCTACTTTTCTTTTGATATTCTACCGATACACCATGCAACAATATGCTAGAGATCATTCAACTTTAGGGCATGCTTATTTCTTGTTCTGTATAACTTTCGATAGCTACTTTCGAACAAGGTTCATCCTTGTATTTATGCTTCTTTCCCGTTTGGCAGGAACACCTGGTGACTGGAGCCATATTATCAAACAAATTGGAATGTTTACCTTCACTGGACTAAATTCAGAGCAAGTAGCCTTTATGACCAGAGAATACCACATATACATGACTTCTGATGGGTAAGAAGCTCATTTCCTGCTAAACCAAATTATTCAAATTGGGCTGTTTACTTTTTGCTGGATTGTGATTCCCATTCACATATTTTCTCGTGTGCAGGAGGATTAGCATGGCAGGTCTGAGCTCCAAGACTGTCCCTCATCTTGCTGATGCAATTCATGCTGCCGTTACTCGTATGTCATAGAAAGCTTTCACAGCCAATCACATCAGTTGTATTTGTTTTTCCACTTCTGTCACCATTTCAATAATAAGTGTAATCCTCAATATACTGAAAGAATCTTTTATGCACTTGAACAATCTTTTTATCAATTAATTAATTAGATCCACAACAAATTGAATTCAAATTTTTAAAACAAAAAAAAATGACATACATATATATATGGTATAGACTACAAACAGTAATACGTTGCCGCGGAGGGCGTGGGGTGGGGTGTGCTTTTTTAGCCAAAAGAAGTCACTATCTGCAACCTTTCAAAAGATAGGAGGGGCTTGAGAAACTACTCATGGCGGTTGACGACTTCCCATTTTCAGTTCCCTTTCCAGGTGTTCCACATTCGCTGAAATCAAGAGTCCGGCGCTCTGCCTGCAAAAGTTTGCGTACCATTGTCAGCTAATTGCTCAATAATAACAGCATAAGGAAGAGGAGGACCTTAAGCATAGTTTCTTAGTAGTACCAGGATATTTGAAGCCAAATGTGACCGGCTTTCCAACTGGTTATTCTCCTTGTCCTCGTTGACGTTAGGATTGTTTGATCGTCTCGCCTTTACAATTGATTCCGGAGTTTCATTTCCCAAAACCTCCAAGGCATCAGCATAAGCAGCCGCGGTATGCTCACTTAATTGCTTCATCAACCCAATGGCATCATAGCTTCTATCCCCAGGGCTCATAAGATATCCTATGTCCTGGAAAGGAATTCGGATTATTAGTAAGCATAAGCAAAAACTTATAGATTCTAAATCTACCTGAAGTTGTTATACCTCGATTGTTATTTCTGTGTCAATCCTTGGACCCGGAACAAAAGAGTTGATGAACCAAGGAGACTTCCACGCTGATGGGGATTCGATACTTCTTTTGAATGGAGTTTCACCAAATCTGGGAATCCACATCACGTAAGTTCATAAGCAACAAATCGATTTATCCTAGCATTTGAAGTAGAAAATAAAAGAAAAGTAGCAGTACAAGCACACTGAATAGCAAAACAAAATAGTAAAATACTATGACAGCATAATGACAATAGGAAGGAGTGGAATCTAACATATTATGATTTTCAATAGCAGCATCAATCCCAGCATTATCAACCAAATTCTCTGCGGTTGCTGATGAAGTCACACATTGCACAGTAGTAACAGCAATTGAGTGGCCTTCACTGTTCTTTATTTTCAAAGTAGGAGAGCTAACAACTATGCATGCATTTCCGGATAAGCATTCAGAAGCAAAACCCTGATTTGATATAGCTCCAAAGCTTTTATGAAACTGATTTCTTGGAGTTCGTGTGCTTGAAGCCAATAATGGTCTGTCTGCTTTAAGACCAACTTGATCAGGAGAAAACAATAGAAGATCATTTATATTATGCTCAATAAGCACTGCTGAAGGCCGTTGGACCTGTCAAAAGCAGAGAGGAGAGAGAGAGATTAGTAGATAATAAATAATTCAACATTTGATGCCAAAAGGAAAGGAAGAGTAATAAAGAAAGAAGAATTATGACCAAGATTTCCAACATAAGATCACAAAAGAAAACAGTGTAAGATGTACATACAGCTATCAGCGTTACGTCAGAGTTAAATAAACAATCACCATTGGTGTGTTACTCCTAATCAAATCATCATTAAATAATAGGTCCAAAAAAATTGACAGGGATTTAATCAAACATTTGCACCTTAAGCTAGAAACTAACATCAAAATACTAAAATGGGGCAAAAAAAAAAAAAAACTCACAACTTTATTGGAAGCGTCAGCATCAGTTTTGTCCTTTGTATCAATATCGCAGGCTTCTTTTGCCATATTCCCATGGGAATTAATTCCATTAGAATCTTTCTTCTGAGCTTTATCATCAAACGATTCAGTGCGATCTCCCCCATTGTCTTGCTCCCCATTAAATGCTTGGCATAGGTTTTCTTTTTCTTCCATGGAGGCACCAGAGTGGGTTTTAGGTTCAGATTGAGAAGCCTGAGATGTGCTGCCAGTCCCACTCTCATCAAACATAACATCCAAACGAGAGAAATCTTTGGTCAAACTGGATGTCATGTCAGTTTCCAGCTTTTTGTCACTTCTTCTTTCTGATAAAGGTGACAAAAGGTCACGGTGGCGTTTCTTCAATATGGATGGTGTACCAGTAAAAGTTTTGGCAGCACTTTTTAACACAGCATCAGGACTATCGTCTCGAGATGGTGAATCCCACAACCTAAATGGAGTGATGCAGTTCATGGAAGACATCATCAGCTGGCGAATACCAAGGGGACTATATTCTTGCTGCATATCACTGCCAGATGGTATAAGATCACAGCTGAAAAATGGAATATCCAAGCTTGGAAATCGAGGTGGCTCATAACATAGAGCTCCAACATCTTGTTCTTCAGGCAAGTTTGGCTCATCATCCACAGTGGCACAAGTTTGCATTGCATCAGATTCTGAACCAAAACTATTCACCGGAACCAACTTCAAAGAATCCTTGGCAAGGTATAATTGCTCTGGCAGGTCTGTATTATCTGTATGATCATCATTAGTATAGATAAAGCCATCATGTGCATTCATAGTAAATTCCTGCTCTTGAGGTCCAAAAGGTTGACCATTTAACTGACTGGGCTCTCTGCCAGACATAAGTGTGCCATACCCCACTGAAGCAACTGAAGGAGACACAAAATACTGACAGCATGATGTCGCTAATACTTCAGACCTTGAAGGACAATTAGATTGTGAGGCTGGAGTTCTTCCAGTTTCAGATATTTGGATGTCTGAAGCCTGACAAAGTGATGAACTTGTGCAGCCACCCAGTTCAACAATATTAGATCCTTGTGTAAAATTTTCAGAGGCAAAACATCCATCATTCACTGCCTCCGAGAATAGGACCCTACAACATTCATCATCAGTTATCAACATAAGCTCTGGTTTGTCAGAAGTTGTAACCATATTTACAAAAGATGTAGGAGCATTTAATCCTACAGAAGTTTGAAATGCAGCATTCATCACTTCATGGCTTTCGCTAGCATCTATACAGTGAGTTGGCAACCCTGATGATTCTTGCCCCAATTCTATGGAAGAAATATTAGGTAGATTTGGTAAACTAAACTGATAATCCCCACTAGCAGAGTACCCTGCTTCACAAGATATTTCTGGAATGGAGAAATTGACATCTTCCAAAGATGGGTAATACTCTTCTGAACATAGCGCTGGACTGGAAATCTTCTCCTTTGCCACACCAGGCATTTCAGACAAGTGGAATTGCTGCTCTCTTGTATTTACAGCAGCATTAGCCATATCACTTGCAGACTTAGAGCAGCCAATCATGCTTGATTCTTGGCTGCATTCTGATATGTCCTCTGCTTCTGTCCTACATTTGGCACCACTATCATCTACATTGCTCTGCACCCTTGAAGAAGATGAAGGCATAGGCTGGCTTTGATTTGCAAGAAGGGGGAACTGAAATTGGTCTAGAAGGCCGGATGCTACGTAAGAGTCCAATTTCTTTTTTACCGAACTGTTCCAGTGATTTTTTATTGCATTGTCTGTCCTGTTACCCATACAAAACGATGGAGATAAAAGCAAGTCATTGGTAAGTCAAATGCAAAAATTATATTAGCTTCTAATTAGCGGAACATTACAAAAATATCAGACGATGACTTGCAGTCACTGGAGGCAGTAAGAATAAAAGAATATAGAATATAGGTGACCTCTACATAACATTGAATTGATGGAAAGGTATGGCCTCTCAAAAATAATAAGTTGACATACCTTCCTGGCAAGAACTTTGTGAGCTCTGCCCATCTGTTCCCAAAAATCTGATGAGCACGAATCAAAGCCAGTTCTTCTTCCTGAGTCCATGCCTCTTTGTTTATGGCAGGATTAAGATGATTATGCCACCTACATCAGTACTTAGTTGGATGAGCACAAATGTAAGACAGGAACGAGTTTTTTTTTTTTCCTTGTATTTTGGTTGAAAAAGGGAGCTTTGCAACAGCAAAATATTTTTATGCAGTCCAGAAGAATATGTTTACAATAACATCCAGAAGGAAAAACTCTCACAAACTGTTAAAATCAATAGGTTTAAACCAATGCAACTAGGCTTAGCCTAGTGTTACCACTCTAAGAAAGGTCAGATTCCAAGAATCCAAAATTCCCCCTCCCTCCTTGGCCATTTCCAAAGTTCCAAATGTAAGTGGGGTTAAATATTAAAATTAACAGCTCTACAATCACACCTTTCTCTGCATTGTTTTCCAATACGTCCAGGTAAGTGCTGAGCAATGGTTGACCACTTTTTAGGCCCAAATTTGTTCACCAACTCAATTATTAGCTCATCCTCCTGTTTAAATTTCACAAAAGCGACTCAAAATGCCATATCAAAGGAAAAACAGTTCATTTTATCAAGAACAGTCGATTCAAGGAATTGTGAGAAAGAAAGTAACAAAAATAATGACCTCTTTTGACCATGGCCCTTTAACAAGTTCTGGATTCAAGACTTTTTGCCACCTATGTAAACACTGTACATCAGTCCGATCCTTGAAACACTCCGCTGCAGATAAACCAGCTTTACAATTAGATCAAGCAAAACGATGCACAAAGAGCTATGATGCCACTTCTATTCGAAAATCATACCTATCTTTTTCCAGTTTTTTCCTTTGAAGCGTTGAACAGCTTTGCGCAGAATCTCATCCTGGAAGCAAATATAATATGCTTGTCAAATGGAAAATCATCTAAATATATACATATACATATACATACACAGAAACAGGCACACGCACAAATAAATTAAAGGATGGGACTAAAATCACTGGATCCATTGTCATAAAGTTATCAGGAGGTATTGTCTTACTAAAACAGGGGAGAGCAACCATAAACTAGGGAAAGATATATACCTCTTCAGCTGTCCATTGCCCTTTTGTAGAACGTCTTGTAGGACCACTAGTCCTCCTATAGAAGGATTGCAAAGTCAGAAAAATTCAGCAGTACATAAAACAGTCAATTTCTTGTAAGAGAACATACCAATTTAGTAAGAGTTAAAAAAAAAAAAACCACTATGACAAGGACGAGAGCAGCCAAGAACACGAAGAATGGTTTTAAATTTTTCAAGCAAGAGGTATTAAAAGTAACAGTCATTATGCCTTTAAGAGAATATACCCATGAAGAGCTCGCATCGTCTGAGCACCATCGCTGATGCTGAGCCCAACTGAAGGAGTCGATTTTGTTCTATCACCTTCCATAGTTTCCTTGTAGATGAATAAATCTGCATACCCCAATTCCCACTCGACAACGTTTCTCTTCGCAATAAGCTCTCCAAATCATTATAAATCAACCTAACTACAAATTTCCTCCCCGCGAAACAACAGGACAAGCTAACATAAAAGGGTAAAAAAATAAAAAAGAATCAGAAAAAAAGAAAACAATTTGAAAGTTATTTTATAGTAATTAAAAAGTCAGAAGTCAACGATTTGAAAATTTGTAGAGAATTCGAGTTCAAAATTAATCATTTCTCTCAAATTCAAACCCTAGATCATTATTAAAATTTGATTTCATTCAGATTTCAACACTCAGAAATTGGATTAAGCTTTTAAAGCAAATTGTTTAGTATTTGGAATAGACATCAAGATCGATGGAAGAAATTTCAAATTCATAAGATGATGAAAAAAATACCCTAAAAAAGGAAAAGAAGTAAAGCACTCACCGAACTAAGCTTGGAAAACCGAGAAATGAAGAATCGGAGGAGAGAGGAAGTCGAAACGCCGCGCATTTGCAGATCCAGGCGAAGAGAGGAACAGAAACTAAAGACAGAGATCTGCAAATGCACTGCGAAGATTATAGAAGATGAAAATATATGAGAGAGAGCAAAGCGTGAGAGAGAGAGAGAGAGAGAAAATGAAACGGTCTTGAGAGCTATTCAAACATAAAGGGGCGGACTAATGGAGTTTCAAACCCTATGGTTAAAGATCGAACATGTCTTGAATTTAATGGTCAGGATTTTTCCACGTTGGAATCGTGGCCGTCCATTGTCTCTACGCTGGCCTTTTTTTTCAAATTCCCAACGGCCAAATTTTTTTTTTAACCTTTTTCTCTTTTCTTTTTCTAGATTAATATTTAATGCATGATACATTCTTAATCCACTAAATACTGCCACCTCATTAACAAGATAAATAATAAAATTTATAAAAACTTTAAAATAAATATAAAAATATTATAATAATTAATTAAATAAAAATAAAATATTTTCACTCAAACCTTTTTCTTATTTTCACTCAAACTACAAAAAAAAAATAAAATGGTCAACAATTAAACTCAAACATGTAAACTCCGATATCAACAATTCCAAAAAATAAAATTATAACAAAAATATACAAAGCAACTTACAACACAATGATTATACTCAATTAAATTAAAACCCTAAACCCAAATCTAAATAAAAAAATACTAATTTATTTATTTTAAAAAAATTAACATCTCCTTTAAATATTGATTATCTTCTTATTTTTAATAGAAGAAGAATAACAAGAAAAACAAAAAAAAGGACAAAAAATATTTTGAATGAGTTGAAGAACAACAAAGACCGTGCCACGTTTGGAGAAAAGTGAAAATATTTTATTTTTATTTAATTAATTATTAAAAAGTTTTTTATTTTACTTTTAAGTTTTTAAAAGCTTTATTATGAAGTGGTAATGTTTGATGAATTGATAATATATGAAAGTTATTGACAATACATTAAATATTATTATTATTTTTTTAGTAATGAGTAATTATAGAGTAAATCTGAAATTAAATACTTGAAGGACTTTTCCCGATACATATTGCCCATCGAAGCTTAGCATCACCGACAACAAATACACGTGTCCCCAAACAACATAAACGAATGTATTGTATTTTCATAATTACAAGTTTTTTTATGTATTAATTTTATTTTTATTCTTTTTTAATATATTATTGTCATTATTATTTTATGCTTAAGCATTCGGTTTGATAATAAATGCGCTTGCATTTATTCGAAAAGTTAAATTTAAATTTATTTTCTAAATAAAAAAAGAAAATATCGTTTTCGATTTATTTTTTTCTCTTGTTAACAAGTGTCTTGAGAATCAAAATGAAAATGATGATATCAGGTTTGAATTTTAATTCGTGACAATTAAATTAATTAATTGTTGATTCTCACAATATTAAATCTGGTGTTCACATATATTTTAAAACTTGATTTAAATGGTAGATATATTTATTTTAAGGTTGGATACTTAAAAAATAGCAAGTACTTTATCTATTTACATCTTTACTTATTAGACATTAGAAGTTTTAGTGCTTAATCCGTTTCTAAATATTTGTCTTTTTTTTTCTTTTTACTTTGCTAAAAAAAATAAAAAATTTTATTTTCATATATCTTATATTATAATTTTTCTAAAAATTATAATATAAGTCTTGAATATCTTAAAAAATGAAAAAGGACTTTATTTTTAGACATCCAAAAAAAAAATATGAGCAAAAGAAAAAAGATGGAGGGAGTAATAGTATTATAATTGACAAATTATGATCATTGTATTTAAAGATTGTAAAGGTTTCTATCAAAGAAGGTAAACAATGATATAAAAAGAAAAAGTTATGAAAATTATATGCTTATCTTTAATTAAACATAGAAATTAAACAAAAAGGTCTAGACATAGGGTAGTATTTAGGGTTTATAGCAATCTCATATGGAAATGCACCTGTCTTAATAGTTAATTAAACTTGAGCCTCCCAAAGAGTTCAGAGTGGAGGTAGAGAAATTAAGAAGCTGCCATATGTATGAAAAAAGAGAGATGATTGTGTCTGTATATTGTTATCGATTTGATCGATGCACTGCGTTTCAAGTTAATTCCAAAGATGGCCACCTTCCTATCTGATCAAGGACTTTCTGTCTTTCTTTCACAGTCCACCGTCAAACCAGCTCAACTTCATGAAGAAGTGGAACTACAGCTCCCCTTGAAGATGAGAAAGTTGAGAGTGGCCAAAGCAAAGTAGATGAAAGTTCCTTTTAAATGGGTGAAGAAGCAACTGAAGTTTGTACCCACCACGCATTGCCATCCAGGCCCATACATCTTGTCAAAATCCTGTACACAAGTAAGAATCCGGAGGGTTGTGTAAAGGAAAAAACAGAAAACAAAACAAGGGATGGTCTGAAATGAACTGATAACCTTTATAATATAGGCAGCGATGGGAATGTAGTCAAAGACTTCATAGAGATCAAGAGCCCGAGAAGCAGAAGCCAGGGCTTGAGACTGCATCTTCAAGGGCATGTCTGTCTCTTCAATCACGGCTTTACCCTCCAACATCTCTTCCTTTCTTTCTCTCAACCTGCTGATATCAAAGAAACCTGGGAGACTGGGAAGAAACAGATTTTAGCAGAAAGAAACAGAGAAGATAGACACAGCCTCGTCCCTCTTTCCTAGCCTGAAGGAACAATCATTCGATGTTCCCTTGGACTTTCAAGCTGCCATGTTTCTTATTCTTTTTATGAACTTCCCTTTCACCTCATCTCCCTCTTCCCTGTATCTGTAACTATATTTTGAGATGTTATTGCAAAGGGTAAAGAAGGTGAGGCAGATATCAAGCAAGGAATCAGTGCCCTTACCAAGTTTAGAATCAAATGAAAACAAAGTACAATTTTGTATTTGGGTTCTAGACGTCCTTTACCAATAAAAAATTAGTCATGGAATTTTAAAAAGTAATTAAAGAGAATGGAATATTTTCTTGCATTTCATTTTTTTCAGGGTCCTGATGTGATAAGATTTGGGACGATAACTTGGAATCAAAGAACTTACTACCATGGAGTCAATGGGTTAACGTTTCTTTCTCCCACAAAAGAACAAAACACAAATCCACAAATGGAAGCGAGATGATTCATTTCATCCAAATACACTACCTTATTATCCTCTATGTTTGCAAACCAATAGGCCATGGCCAAACCCGTTTGATTGTCTTGATAGTAATAATTAGTGTAATGAAATTCACATCTTCACAGTTAACTCGAAAAACTAAAGGCATCAAAATAACATATGTTAAAATTATTCGACCTACAAAAACGTGTTGCAACATGTTATACTAAAGCAAATGTTTACAACTTATGGCTAACTTCAACCAGAAATGAACAAGCACCATGGCTTCTTTCCCCCCAAAAAATCTCAAGCTATGGTGCAAAAATGATCTCAAAACCCATCTCAAGTCGATAGATCCTCTCATGCTGATCCGGTCTTTCTAGCTTTATTTGGACGACCTACTGGAGAATCGTTTTCTCTACCACGGGAATGTTTTCCACCTCTGTAGTGCTTTCCTCCCCTGAGAAGCATCAATAAAAGATAAGAAAATTAAACCAGCAACTTAAATAGAAGAAAGACTGTAGACTGGGGATTTCCTGGGCAATTTCTTCTTCAACGAAAGAATGAAGCTGTAGAAAGAGTATGGCACTGACCTTGCTGGAAAACGCTTGCTTTCCCGATGCTTTTCTTGGTTACCACGAAGTAGACTCCAATACTCCCTCTCAGCATCACCTACAAAACATTACCCAGCCCTCTTATCAGTTCCTCATCTAATACCTCAGGCTCTCTTGACCAGAAGTCCTCAGTTCCTCATGTAATACACATTTTTCCGTTTTATGTAAGATGAAAATTAGTTGATAAGAAGATCAACTGTGACATCACAGTGATCATACGGCTTTCTAAGCCATACACACCAAGTAATTGTCATAGTTTATAAAGGTAACCATCCTAGTAAAACCTTCTAGTAACAACAGGAACAAAAATTACACAACATGCAACAAGAAAATTCAAATTAAGGAGTAAATGAAATATAATGGAAGTTGTTTCTGCCTTACCAGTTACTGGTTCTAAAGTAGCAACGAAATTTTTGACAACCAAACCACCCTCTTTAGCCAGGACTGCAGCAGCACGAGCTTTCTGGGCTGCTTCAGGTGCATCAAACCGTATGTAACCTTTATCCTCTCCAGCTTTGAAGTCAACATACTTCACATGTAAAAGGATATGTACGATGAGTAAGAAGTAAATAACGAATAAGAAATATCAAATTAATAAAAAAGAACCTAGAGAAACAATTATCTAGTACAAGGTCTGTTACTTCATCTTTCTTTTAGTTTTTAGTTATTCATTTGTATAGAAGTAAAAAATGTAAAACAAATTACGATATAAGTAAACAATCCAGAAAAGAGACCAATTTCAATTAACACTATTAAACCTCATGAAGTATTAACAAATGAATTTTTGTAAGGATCAACACGGAGAAAATAATGAAGGCTCTAAATCTCAAGGAAACAGAAGAAGAAACCATCCTCCTTAATAATACCTTTACAGTGCCGAATTTTTGAAAGACACCCTTCAAATCCTCACGCAAAACAACATTCATATCATTTTTATAGATAGATGCAGTGCATTTATTTTCCTTCTCTTCAACCTTTTGAATAGGATTTTTGGTGTTCATTCCTTCACTCCACACAACATGTTTCTCATCAATCTCTTCTTTGTTGTCATTGTCATTTTCTGTAGTCTTCTTTTCACTGCTTCCAGCAGCATTCCCTGAGTCTAACCCTTCTTCTATTTTACAAGCATTAGTACCATCCTTAGTGAGTTCATCAGAACCATTTTGCTCTGCAGAGTCCCCAGCTGAAATGCTCTTTAATGTAAATCCAACAAGTAAGCCCTTGGGGTATCTGTAATAATCATTACATGGAGTTTGGTTACCAACATATGACAACAAAAACTAATGCCAGTTGAAGATTATGGTTTAATTACTTACTTTTCTCCTGCCTTTGAGTTGTAATCACCATTTGAACCTGTGCTCTGACGATAATCCTCAAGCTCCTCTGCTTCTTGTTCTCTTATAGCATCAAAATCCTTCCTGAAATGAAAATTGTGAGAACTATCACATCAGAAAATAAAATCATAACAGCAACTACAACCACTTATTCACAAGCAACATCTATTTACAAATCAACTATATCACACAACTTGTTTATATTTTCTCATTCATTTACGATGTCAATACTGATTATATCTATTTCAATATATGACACCATTAGGCAAACAAATTGCGACAAAATACATAGCCACAAGTATAGCTTACTTTGGTTTTAGTTCCAGCTCAGCGCCTGCAAAAACCAAGCTTTGCTCCAGCACATTTTGAGCATCCTCCTCAGCTGAGAACTCAATCAAAGCAGTGCCACAAAAGTACTTTTTGTGTGCCACATGACGAGGCAACCTTACACTATTAACCTAAAATAGGAAAGAAGATAATCAGTATACATTAAACCACAAAAATATCCATAACCCCTACACAAATTATTGGCTTTCACAAATGTAATTACACAAGAAAGTAATTGAAACCAGAAAAACTATTCGCATTGAGCAATACCTTAGCATACTGACCAAAAAAGGCTTCTACATCCTCCCTCTTGACATTGCACTCGAATGGTGAGGCAGCAATTGTTCTACTGTCCAATTGCTGTATCAATTCCTCGGGCTCTAATAGCTCAGTGCTCCTACCAACTTTCTTCCCTGAAAGGCAAAAACCCAAATTCCGAATAAGAAAAAAACTCTTTCTTAGCTTACAAGAAAAAAAAAAAAACTTTTTCTTCTCTTCGAGTTTGTAAAACTGACCATCTTCAGAAACCTTGAGGGAAGAGGAAGTTCTTAGAGTTTCAGCAACGGCTTTCAAAGTAACCTCTGGTACATCTTCTGCCTTCACAGCCCCTAAGTTCAAATGTGCTCTCATCTTTGAAAACGAGCAAATCAATGCCAAACTGACCACTTTTTACTCACAGTCAAGATCAACAAAAATTAAGCACCAGGAATTAAATAAATAAATAAATAAATAATATACTCTCTCCACATTCAAACAACAAGTAACAAAGTTTCTTGAGAAAGGATACTGCCATCTTCGTTCTCGCTGATTTTTTTCTTGAGAAAATCGTCTCTTGGAATATTGCTATCGCTGAAGTAAAACTCCACCTGTAAATTGATTAAATAAAATTAAATAAAAATCATTTTTGAAGCGAGTCAAGAACAAAAGGAAATTAAACTTAGAAAAAGATGGGAGAGGAGGATTTTGACCTGGCGAAGAACAGCCTTGGCAGTCTCTTCGCCCAAAGAAGGCGTCGCCATTGTTGCACGTTAAATGCTTGAGAGACAAAGAGAGAGAGATCGAAGAAGAGAGAGCGTCGCGGGATGTTTAGGGTTTAGGGGTAGTTTCGGTTAGGAATTATAAAGAGTGGGCTTTTTTAAATGTCTCTGTTTCTATTGTATCGACTCCGAAAACTCGAACACGAGTCCGACACGACCACATGGGATATGCGGTTTGAGTTTACTTTCCCGCACGAACTCGGAACTTCTCCCTGTCATTTTAAGTTTGAGTAAGTTTTCTTTCTTAACTGCCAAAATCTTTGTCTCTCTGCCACGTCAACACATAACTACCCATTGATGCCCCCATTCGAAGTCCAAAAAAGATTTCTTTTTTCTTTTGTTCTGAAATTAGGAAATAAATTGAATTCAAGAGAAAAATTAAAATAATTAAAATTTTTAAAGTTTTATCACTTTTTCTTATTTATAAACTATTTTTAGTTAAAAATTTTAAAAACTTTAAATAAAATAATTTTTAAATATATTTTTGTTAAAATTTAATTTAATGCAAACAATTAAAATAAAACCATCTACCGACTGGAAGCACAGAAAATCTATATATAAGGCCATATGTCACAATCCACATGAAAAAATACATTTATTGTTTAACTCATTGGACTTTACCACCCAAGATCATAACATCTGACATACCATAATTGACCTAATTTGATCTCGTGCTCACTACAAACATGGACAAGAAAGAAGAAACACCACAAGAAGAAGAAGAGAAACATCATCACCAGAACCAAAAGTCAATCAACCTTAGTAGTCATCTTCTTGAAAATGAAATAGGCACAACCATATAACTTTATCAACAATTCATCTGCAGTTAGACATTTCCACATTCTCAATCGTCGTGCATCCCGTTATGGCACAGGTGAGTTTTTGTGGTAAACATGGACAAAACAAAATCAAAACCATGGTAATATGGCATAATCATTTGCAAACTTGCCATCAGAATAAATATGAAAATGCAAAACAATCACAAGTTAACCAGCAATGGAGATTTGAATATGTTTAGTACAATATATAGCAACTACAACAGAAGTTCATCTCCCCCACCCTCAACCTTGACTCCATTTACTCTTTGAAGTTAGTTTCCATTCCATGTTTGTCTTTTTTTCTGATCAATCCGGATAGAAGTAAATAGTCAGGACTTTGGTGACTTATTCATGAGGGAAATAACTTCAAGCCTGCAATAGAAAATTAACAACAAACCACCCTTCTTTGAAAGCCAGCAGGTTTTAGGCAGCTAGCAACATCTTTTCTTTTTTTTGCTCAGCAGCTAGCAACATCTTAATTGGCATTGAAATATGCTTCACATAAAATCCTCTTCAAGTTCCTGCAATGACTTGCTTGTTGCTGCAATTTGTTTGTTTGATGTCATCTTTTCAGAGACCATGAGACCCTTATAGCTTCTTATCTCTGCTTGCCTTTCCTTCTCAAGCTTTTCCAGTTCCTCACGTCGTTTCTACCAGCGAAATCAAAGGGATTATCATTTTAGACATATAATCAAGAACGCGTGTCATGCGTGTACATGTGTATGTGATCACCTATAATCAAATTTCTTTATCAAAATCCAGGAATTGTAAATACAATTCAATGTTTAGCGCCTGTTGTATTGGACAAACCACATCATATCCCATAAACACCCATATGAAATTATTAGGCTTTCAAGGCAAATATCTGAATTATTAGCAGCATAGAAAAGCTGAACATGAGTCCATTCAATCATTGTGCCATCCTGACCATAGTTTCCAGTACCTCACTATATAGATCCATATTTGGTCTAAGAAAGTGAACAAGAAACAAAACCCCAGTCTATTAACATAACAAAACTACAACACATAGGTGCTATTATCCTTTATTCTTTATAGATCATCCTGCACCTGCTTCAGCTCCATAAATCTGCTATGATGTAAATAACTTTTTACCCTAAGCAAAATCCTGTAGGATAACTTTCATTTCCATGCTACAGCCAATTAGGATATTCATGTTCTATAGTATACCCACATAAACCATCAACTGATTTAGCTGCCATCAAATTGACCAAATAAGGAAAAAACAGTCTAAGGAAAAGGAGCTTACTTTTTCCCTCAGCTGTTGCTTTCTCTCTGCTCTTTCCGCTGCATTAACAGCTTCTCTCTCAGCTGCAACAACATATAATAATAAGTGCCCTCACTGACATCAAGATTAGATAAAACAATACTAATTTCAAGACCAGGATACCTAATGTAAAGAAGTGTAGAAGACGCAAAGGGCAAAACAGATATAGAATAAGAATATGCATACTATGATGGGAAACAAGATGCAGAAAACAGAACAAGTGAAATAAAAAACCACAGAAATCACACCAAATTGCTTTCATAAACAATGATAATAGTATCTCTAGCACTAAGGCATTGCAGAAAATGAAACCACATTCATTTGCATACCTTTTAAATCAGGTTTCCTTTCCACTTTAGTCCTGTTCAACCTGTTAACTATGTCATTTATCCGCTTCTCCACTCTCACAGTCCGTACCTAAATCACATGATAAAATCAGACAAACATCCATTCCAGAAGAAAACACAAATGAACAACAACAACAACAACAACAATAATAATAATAATAACAATATTCATAAAAATAAAGAAGTTTACCATCTTGGGATTGTGAAAGCCAACTTGTCCAACATCCATGGACGGAGTTTTCTTCAAATTGGACCATGGAGTGTAAACAACATCAATATTGTTCACTTTGTTGCCTAACCTCACACAATAATCAAAGAAAAAAAGGAAATTACAACTTATTATATCAAACATATTTAAATTACATTTTACAAAAAGAAATTGATGAAACTAAATATAAACCTTGGATGGAATTAGCTTTAACAAGCTGAGCGCAATCTTCGAGCACACCTTCGCTTATATCATCGATGGTTTGACCTTTCTGAAGTCGTAAATAAACATGAGCAGATGACATTTTATCCACATGGAACCTGTAATAAAACGAAATTCAATCACCCAAATTTCCTAAATAACAAAAAAGAAAAAAGCCCAACTACGTTTATATATGGCAAAAATGACGAAATTTCAATAATTTTTATTGCAATTGAAAACAAAATCATGAAAGGAAATACCAAATGTCTTCGGGGAAGCCGTATCTGATGAGCTCCTCGTTCTCGTACTTGTCAAGTCCCATGAAAATGGTGTAATCGCCAGCCTCTGGTCGGGCTTTGAAGTAAAACACCATTTTTTTGGTCTGGAAAAAAAAAAAGTTCTTCCTTTTAACCCTTTTCTCCCTTGTGAGACCAGAGAGGAAATTAGGTTTTCTTTTCCCCCTTCAATTAGGGATTTGTTGGGAATAACGATTGCCCAAGGACTAAGGAGATCGGTGTTTGGTGCTCCGCCTTTTTCCACATAACAGCGTTTCAATTAAGCTACGCCGCTACTAGTACGTGACTACGGCGTTACGGGGTTAAATTCTTTTTTTTATTTCTTTTTCCATTGCTATTGATCTAAGCAAATAGATTTTTGTAATTTTTAATTAATATTTATATTTTTTATTTTATTCAAGTATATCTTAATATTAATGTAATTAAATTTTATTAATAGTGATAGTTTCGATTACAAATGGAAGGATAAAGTGAAGTCCATTAAATTATTTGTCGAGGAATTTTTGATAAAAAAATGTCATTATAAAAATTAAAATGAATTTTTAATAATTATTTTTATTATGATAATTTATTTATTTCTTTTACATTGACAAGCACACTAATCGTATTTATTAACATTAAACTTAATAAATGAATGGTACATTTTTTAATTTTAAATATTTTTTTAATTTTTACAGATATTAAGATAATTTTTTTTGAAAAGAAGACAAAATTTTTTATTTTGATTATTTTATGTTAATTAGTATAGATATTCAATACTTTTTAATAAAAAATTAAGAAAAATAAATTTAAAATTTAAAAATAAGAATATTAAATGTTTAAAGAACGATTTTATTTCAAAATATTTAAAAAAGTATGAAATGTAAAAAAAAAAATTGAAATGTCTTATCAAATATATTTATTTTACATCAAACATTGAACTATTAATCAAGCAACATTAAATAGTAAAAGAATAGTAATTTTTCTTTTTCTAAATGTTTGTCTGTCTTTAATTTTTATGAACATTAAAATAAAATTTGAATTTCTTTTATAATATATATTCAGTATTTTTAATATAAAAATTATAAAAAATAAATTTATAATATAAAAAAGTAAGAATATTAAATCTTTAAAAAAATTTATTTTGAATATAGGCCTAATTTATTTGTTTGGGAGAAAAAAAATCGTCAATTAACAGTCATGAATCTGTTTGCATGCGGTAGTAATACAGGAAACCAACACAAGTGAAAAGTAGTTGCTGCAAAGAATAAGGCAATCCTCGTATTTGCAGAGGTTCTCAAATCCCATGTAATCATTCTGCTCAATCTTCTCAACCATGCCTGATATGCCAGCCCCTCCTACAAACCATGAACAAAAGGGACAAAAATAAGAGCAAACCCAAGGTAGTACAGAGAAATGAGAATTACAGGGATGCTCTCACCCAGTGAAAGGGCGCTGACGAATATCGTGAAGGCTAGAACAAAGATGATAATGGATTCTTTTCCTTCCGGTTAATCTGATCAGGCTATCGACAGCTTGTTGACCTATTAAGGCCGCAATGATGGACACAACAATGAAGTAGAGAGCTGCCAGAACAGGTTGCAGGTTTGAACAATGGATTTTTATGGAAAACAATCCTTTTTGACCCCTCTTCGTAGAGGTGCTAGGATTATGTAACTCACCATAAGGAACTGGGAAACGGTTCAGAAGGTAGTATTCTACAACAGACATTGAGGAGGAGAAGGTCATCCCGAATGTGGCTGTGGCACTTGCGACCTGCACAATGATCACCAAGCTTTTTGGAAACCAGACAGGTAGTTAGGATTCTTCCTGAAATCCCATTTGGAAGGATCTCGACTCAAGGAAAACAACAGCTTCTGCTTTCTGAAAATGAAATCTCTAGACCAGACCTATTTGTTTTGCACTTATGCTTGACCTGAGGAGGAATTCCCACCTTCTCTCCTTTTCTAAGGACAGTCAACAAGCTCATTAGCAATGAGCGTGGAGTCCATAATTTGTCTACTTTTGATGAATGTAAATTGGTTCGGACTAATAACATTCTCAATAACCACTCTGAATCTATTGGCTAAAACCTTTGCCATTACCTTGTATAAGCTCCCGACCATGCTGAGTGGTTTGTATTCCGTAAATGCTGTGGGGTTATTACATTTAGGGATAAGGGTAATGAAGGAAGCGTTCATTCTTTTCATCAAAGTT